AAACTGCACAGGGTTTTGGGGTTATGGCATTCAGCATCAGTTGACGAACTCTGAGCCCTCGTGCAGGACTCGGCGCAGACGATCCAGTTGGTCGTCTTCCAGGTGGAACGCTCTGGATTTTGATTGCCCGAAGCCCCAAAGCCCAATCCCGACCTTTATGCTAACCCAGGGCTTTGGTCAAAAGGCCAAACAAAGCGGCATCCTTGTCTTTGTAGATGGACCACCAAGAATGGTTCTACAGACAGCGGCCACTGTGGCCAGTGCTGTGGCTTGCGAAGCTACTCAGGTGAATTGGTCGGCGAGGTCTTTCGGGCCTCAACCCCAAACCCTACAACCTAAACCCTAAACCCCAAAATTCCCTGAACCCTAAGCCCAGTGGCAGCAAGGTGGGGTCTGACATGGCGCTGGACGAGTTGCTTGCCTGGCGCGTGGAGAACGGTCGGGACAAGGAGCCCTTGATGAGGACCCACAGCCGAAAGTTTCACTTTGAGGGTTTCGGCCGTGTCGGGAACTGGCACGGCGGCGCTGGGAGGTGGAGGTTGTGGTGGTGTGGGTTGAGGGGCAGCCGCGAATAGCGTGGTGGCTCCTTGTTTCATGTACTCGCCCCAACTTTAGTCCTTCTTCGGTTTCGGGCTTACGCCCTTAACTCCCGTCCTCATGAAGAAAACGGGAAATAAATAAACAAATAAAGAAATAGAGAGAGATATATATATATATAATTCCAAATGTGGACCGGCAGTTCCAAAGAGGTATGCCTCAGGCTGGGCTCCACGGTTTCCGGGACATGGCTTGCCTGGGACATGCCCAACTTATCCTCAAGAAGCTAGGACCGGGAGTTAGGCCTTCATTTCCTTTTCTTAAAGTTTGGGCTTCCCTTATACTCGTACTCCCCTTAAAACCAAAAGGGTACCCTGTTTATTCCTGGGTTACTCCTGGGTCTAGGAAACGATTTTCGAGCCCACCTTTCCTCCAGGAAAGACTCGCCACCCGAGAAGGCGCCGGTCTTAGGCGCGCACTTGGGGAGTTATTGTGTTCTTTTGCTCTTACCGATGATTTTTCTGGTTGAACCCTACAGTAAACATTACTTACAAGGAGATCTGGCTTGGTGCTTGTAGGGCTTGTTGAAATTTGTATTGGGACTTCAGCTGGACAGCCCTAAACCTGTGTGGGCCTTCAAGAATCCCCATGCTCGGTGAACCTATGGAGGGACAAGAATCAAGGTAAGAAGTATGGCCCCGAATGGCTTGATGTTGATTTGGGAATGAAGTGCATATATAGATATGTGTATATACATACATAAACACATATATATATATATGTGTGTGTGTGTGTGTGCGTATATGTGGTATATGATTTCTATATAAAAAGGTAGGTCATGTGTATATAGCGACGGGGGGACAGCCCGAGGCTCACCGGCAGAGTAAACCATGGAGCTACAAGCGCTCTGACTCCCAAAGCCTGATCCGTTTAGGGTTTAGGGTTAAAAGTTTAGGGTTTAGGTTTCAGGGTTTAGGGTTTAGGTTTCAGGGTTTAGGGTTTTGAGTTATAGTTTTTGGGGCTCAAGCATTGATGGGCTTGAGGCTGTAGCAGTTTCTTCTATAGACCGTTGGATTTGAGCCAGGGTTGCGGGTTCGGGTTTGTGGAGTTGGGTGGCTGAATCTGTCAGGCAGCACACCTCGACCCAACTACTGGGTGCTGGCGGAGTTCCAAGTGGACAGCGTGAAGCTCAGTCCACGTGCAAAACGTCACTATCGCAAGTGCCTAGTATACAAGAACACTGAGAGGGCACCACAATTACAAGTACCCATCCTGGAAAGTGGAGGGGTCGGGCGTTTGGATAGGGTTTATGGTTGAGGGTCTTCGGTTTCTAGGGTTCATGTGGTTGAGGGTCCTTCTGCTGCGAAGCAAACTGAGATCTATCGACGCCCCTGCCCTATGACGAGGCCCGCGCCTTGCTGTTTGCTGTGGTTCGACGTCTAGTGTTTCTGATCCAGCTTGAAACTCTATACATCTAGAGGCCCATGTTTATACATATATATATATATTTATGTATACACATATATATATATATGGATGATATTTTCCCCAAAGTCCTGCAGCCCTATGCAATGAACCCTACACCTAAAGAACACGCCTTAACCTCAAGACCCTATAGAAAGGGCCTAGGAGTGTCAATCCTGATTTCTGAGGATTGTCTGCATTTGGAGCATGTGGCTGGTTTTGTGTGTGTGTGTGTGATGTGTGAGGGTCAGACACTGCAAGAGAGTCCTGACCTGGACACGACAGGACGAGATGCTGAAGCCACCCCCACCTCCACCGGATGCCATCGAGCTGATCCGAAATCTGGAGGCACTCCTTCTCGGTAGGCCCTTGGGATATTTTGACATTTTCCCTTTCTTGGGTTTACAGCAAGAGGATCACATTTAGGCATTTTTTTTCAGAGGGCTTTCTTAGGGCCATCCTGGCCTGCGTTCATGGTTTAGGACATAATTTTTCAGAGGGGTTCTATGGGCCATCCTGACCTTCATGGTTCTTGGGCTCTTAGCGTTGAGGTTGATCTTTGGCCATCTGATGTGCGCCCGCTGGCATGCGGAGACCCCCCCCCGGCAGTCAAACGCCTTTCGAAGCCTGGGTTCCGGGTACCCTCTTTGGGGTTTAGGGTTTTGGGTTTAGGGTTTAGGGTTTAGGGTTTAGGGTTGAGGGTTTGGGGTTTAGGGTTTAGGGTTTAGGGTCACAAGCACCCTGAACCCTGAACCCCTCGCATTCGCAGGCACCCGAAACACTAAACCCTGACAACCCATGATAACCCTGAACGCTCAACCTGAGCCCTAGAAGCCCTAAATCCCGAAGCTGCAAGCCCAGCGCCTGGAGGTGGGGCGAGCTGTGAAGCTGGACCACGACGCTGGGGAGGAGGCGTCGGTTGGGCGAAGCTGCGTTAGGGTGTTATAGGGGGGCTATCTCTTGGGATTCGGGAACTTAGCAAATCAGTTCAAAGTCAGTCCTGCTCTTTACACCTCGAAGGGCTGTGTAAAGGGGGACCGATGTTGAAATCAGGGACCAGGTTTCTCAAGACAACGGTTCTGGACTGGGTTGCGTTCCAAATCCCGCAGCCGCTCTTTTCAGGAATCCTTGGCCCTCAAGCTCCAAAAGCCCAGGGAGTTGGAGTTTGGCTTTTTTGGCTTCTTAAGGGTTTGGGGTTGGGATGTTCCCCCTGATACCCAGTACGAACAGTCCTAAATAAATAGGGTTCCTAAACCCCAAACCCCAAAACCTAAACCCTAAACCCTTAACCCCAAATGAGGTTTAGGGACCTCTGGCCTGTGGTGCACAGTTCTAGCAGCCCAACCCTGCCCAGAGTGCCGGGGCCTGGAAGGCCCTACCTGAAAACACCGGGTACAGCCCAGACCCTAAACTCGACAACGTAGGGAGCTTTAGGGTTTAGGGTTTCGGGTTATATAGCGTTTAGGGTTTAGGGTTTAGGGTTTAGGGTTGCTAAGATGAGGTAGGGCCTCGCCCCTCCTCTGTTCCTCTCCATGAGGCCGCCGCCTGAGGCGCTTTGAGAGAGGGAGCCGAATAGCAACTGGTGTCAGAAGTGCAGGCTCTGGGTTTGTATATGTACGTATGTATGTATGTATGTATGTATGTATGTATGTGTGTATGTGTGTGTATGTGTGTATGTGTGTATGTATGTGTGTGCGTATGTACTTATGTGTGTATGTGTGTGTGTGTGCGCATCTTTCAAGACGTGCTAGATTGGACACAGGGGCTAAGCCAGTGAGAAGCAGGCATCCGAGCAGAGCGATGATCGATTGGGGTATACTTGGCTCCTCATGGAAGGAATCATAATCGAGGAAGAGACCGCATTGAGTCGCTACAGCAGATAAATCTGCCAGCAATCTGTCTTTCCGAGTTAGTTGTGCCTCCGGCACAGATGCGAGACGCACGGAGCATGTGGCACGTTTGTCTATAATGCCCTGGAGCTCCCATCGGGGAGACCAAGGGCCTGTTGGGGGTGCCATGGCTGTATGAATCAGTACGCCGTGCATCTCCCAGCACTCTGGCTGCCCTTGCTGAAGTCCTTGCGTGCGGGCAAAGCTGCCTTTGGGGGGGGGAGGGGGATTGAGCTCGGAACTCTTGTAGTTGGGCTTGGGAAGGTGCAGTTTCGTGACTCAGCCAGGGCAGCGCCCAATTTTGCGCTTCGGATTCCTGCGCATTTCCATGTAGTGGAGGCGTGCGACCCAAGCGTTTATCATGGCATCGCATAATTCCATGCGCTGTGCCTGCCTTGCAGAAGCAAGCATAATTCATGGAGCCTGCGGGAAGCTTGCAGTGCGTGACACGAAGAAATCTGGCGAGACTAAAAAGAGTCCGAGAGCCCAAGAGCTCTGCAAGTATATGCAACAGGGTTTGTGTTACTGTTATTGGTGAGTGTATGTAGCGCTCCCTACATGAAGGTCTGCGGTGTGTTTTAAAGTTTCGCTTCGCTCTTCGGAGACTCCAGGGATACTAGTAACATAAACCTTATAGTTCATGTGGCTAGATTGTCCTGTCGTAACCCTCCCTGCGCCCCCACGGAAATCGAGGTCCAACCGCCATCCTGCAGGTTTCTCTCGTCATGGATGGCCCGCCACGGTTCTACTCAGCCCCGCCCATTCTTCCAAGCCACGCACCAACAGAGTCCATCCCTTGTGGCATGTTGTTGGGGGCTTTCGGCTGGTAGCTGAAGACAGCACACAAGCTGCTGCAGCGCCTAGAAGGCGCAGTGCTGAGGCTTTGCAGACAGGCTGCTTCAATACTGCTCAACTCATTCGAAAGAGCCAGGCACTTTTACAGCTGCGGAAGAGCAGCGCTTTGCAGTTACCAGCTGTGTGAAATGGACATGTACCAAGTATGGCCGAAACTCCCCAAAGCCGGAACAGGCAAAACGGAGAGCAAATATTTGGGCCTCCAAAAGGAACCCAAAGCCCAAAACAAAGAGCAAGCAACCGGGGCCTTGGGCCATGGAGTTGCCACAAGCCCGTCTCAACGACAGCGCTCAGGAAGAGGCCTGGCGTCGTTTTCACCCGCACACCCACACACGCACATCCAAAAAACACAACACAAAAAGGGTGGTGTTTAGGGTGGTGTTTAGGGTTCAGGGTTTAGCAGCAAAGCAGACACTAAACCGGCCGACACGCCTATAAGGCCCTAGCAGGTCTTGAAGACTTCAATTGTCGAGCCTCTGATGCCTCGCATGGCCTCAAGACCTTCCTTCTGGGTTTGATTACTTAGGGGTTAGGGTGCAGGGTTTAGGGTTTAGGGTGATTAAAGCCCTACACCCGAGAACCCGAGCGTAACAGCAAGGGCTCCGACGTTCCTCCTCCTCCGCCCGTCAGCGGTGAGCGTTCCTTGGCTGAGTTTTTTGTAAAGTCTTGACCCTCTAGAGAGCAAAATCCTAAATCCTCAGAGTTACCTGTATTGTATCAAGTGCCTGCATGGTAAGTCAATGTTGTGGGTGAATGTTGGCTGCTTTGGAGGTCTACGGGATTAATTCAATCCTAAGCTCTTCATGCTCCCTCTCCAGGCCAAGCGGTTCAGAAGCACTCGGAGTTGAGGGATGCTTAGGGCTTTTGAGGGGTTGTACAGGCGTTGATGTCAAGGCAGTTCCCAGTCCGGGGCCCCCCAAATCGGATAAAGTAGATCCCTCTTATGAGGGCTCCTCCTGAAGGTCACCATGGTACCGGCTACACTACGTTGAGGAGATTCTCCTTTTCAGGTCCTCCCTCCGGTGTATCGTGGCTGAGGTCATGTCTCCATTGGTCGGTGGGGACGCCGTCTCTTCGCGAAGCTGCGGCCCTTCCGGAACACAGCGCCCTTGGCCAGATTGGTGGGGCTGAGAAGGCCAAGAAGTCCTGAGCCCAACATTGCCCTGGGCCCTTGAAGCCCTCCCTAGACTGAGAACCTGAAGTTAGGCTTCCCTCTACACAATCCCTCAAAATAGTCGCAAAAACCTGACATAAGGAGGCCTTTTGGCCCAAAGTACCCTAAAATAAGAGGCCTTAGAGCCTCGGGGTATATATATATATATAAGAGAAACACACATATATATGATTCAGCCCCGGCGGGCCCCCCCCCCCTCCCCCCTACCCCCCCCCCCCCCCCCCCCCCAATGGTACCCCCCCCCCCCCCTGTGGTGTGGTTGGGGGTTGGTTTTAGGGTTTTAGGGTTTAGGGTTTAGGGTTTAGGGTTTAGGGTTTTAGGGTTTAGGGTTTTAGGGTTTAGGGTTTTTTACGGTTTAGGGTTTTAGGGTTTAGGGTTTAGGGTTTAGGGTTTAGGGTTTAGGTTTTTGCCCGCGGATGGGGTACTAAGATGATCCCCCCCCCCCCTGTGGTGTGGTTGGGGGTTGGTTTTAGGGTTAGGGTTTAGGGTTCAGGGTTTTAGGGTTTAGGGTTTAAGGTTTAAGACTTAAGGTTTAGGGTTAGGGTTTAGGTTTAGGGTTTAGGGTTTAAGGGTTTAGGGGTTTAGGGTTTAGGGGGTTAGGGTTTAGGGTTTAGGGTTTAGGGACCGTAGAGTATTGGGGGGGGGGGGGGGGGGGGGGGGGGGGGGGGGGATACCATGGGGGGGGGGGGGCCCAGGACGCTCGACGCTGAACCATATATATATATCATATTTATATTATATATATACATCTATACATACATATATATATATGTATATTATACACTAAGAGGATGGCTGAGCTTCACAGCAGGTTGGGGCCTCCGACGCCTTGCTACGGACGGCGCTCATCAACGGAGACGAGCCGCCGCCCAGACTGCTTACAGGCTTAGAGTTTAGGGGTCATAGGGTTTAGGGTTTAGGGTTTAAGGTTTAGGGTTTAGGGTTTAGGGTTTATAGGGTTTAGGGTTAAGGGTTAAAGGCTTAGGGGGTGGGGGTTTTGGGCTTTTCTAAGGGTAGTTTCATGGGGCCTTATGAATATGGTCATGCAACTACCCTTCAAGTTTAGGGCTCTGAGGGATTCAGGGGTGTTTACGGGGTAGTAGGGCTTCAGGGGTTCAAGGTTTCAGGAAAGGTGTTTAGGGTTTAGGGTCTGGGGTTTATGATACCAGCCTAAACCCAACAAGCCCTTGCCCCTCGCAGTCCTTCAGCTCTTGAATGCCCTAAGCCTTCAACTCCCCGCACAAATCACGAGCCCTTAGACTCGATAGACACCCCTCTGCGGCCCCGAACCCCAAACCCTAAAAAACACTAACAACCCTAAAAGCCCAAAAAAAAAGCCCCAAAAGCCCTAGAAAACCCCTAGAAGACCCAGGATGGCCGTGGAGGTCCTGCATCCTGAGCTCGTGCCGCACTGCCTGGGCTTGAGCCGAACTGGGCCTGCGGACCTCTCGCGGAAGTATCCCGACGCGTCTCGGAAGCTTTAGTTAGGGGGGGGGGGGGTTATAGGGGTTATAGGGGCTATAGGGGTTAGAGGGGTTATAGGGGTTATAGGCTTTAGTAAGGGCGGGGGGGGGGGGTTCGAGGGGTTCTTAGGGTGTGTGTGGGTGGGTGGGTGGCGGAGAGAGGGGGTGGGGGGGGGGGGGGGGGGGGTTGCAAGGGTTGAGGAGGCTCTTGGAGGATTCTGAGCCTCTTGGGCCTCAGGGATGCTTAACCTTGCTGGTCTCTTCATAGCAGGTTAACGTAGTTGTCTCGAGCCTACCTTGGGGCCAACAGTCACGCTAAGCCAGAGACAGCGACGGCTCCCAAGCTGCTGTTGCAGTCATTGCTTGAACCACCTTCCCGAAGCCCTAAACCCCAAGGCAGAACTCGAGCTCAACCCAAGCTCCTTACGTAGGATCACGAGAGCGGCTTCGACGGCCAAGCGCTGGATTACCTTTGCCAAGGATCGCCACGTGAAGATGCGCTCTTCAGGGTTTAGGGTTCATTGTGTTTAAGGTTTATAATGTCGCGGGTTAAAGGCTCCTCCAGCCTGGCAGCATCTGGCAGCCCTGGCTAACCTAGGTTCCCTCCAACTTGATTAAGCTGTGCAACTGCATTGTAGCAACCCTCCTGAGAAGGTTCCCAGGATAAAAAGCTTCCCCTTTTCGCGGATGTTCGGGGTGCACATGCAGGGATTGTAAGAGTTCAGGGTTCAGAGTTTTGATGGTTAATAATTGCCCGAAACCCGAAACCCTTTGCTAAAACCTGCTGCCAGGGCTCCTCCTGCAGTACGGCCTCCGGCCGTCCCCTCGGCTGAAGAGACGTGCGGCGGCTTCGGCGAGGTGGGGGAGAGCCCTAAACCCTAAACCCTAAACCGGGCCTTTGGAAATGTTTGGGGGTTTGGAACCAGCAATTCGATCTCGGGCGCTGGTTTTCGGGAACAAGGGGCATGCCAGACAGAGACCACTTCCCTCAAGAAAGCCAGCAAGAAAAGTAGCTTTCAACTCACCAGCAGGAGTCCACGTTTGCCGTGTTCGGGTTCTTATCGGATAGAGACGTCAAAGCCCGAAAACCATGTCACCCATAAGAGGCCCTCTGAGCTGAAAAAGACTCTCCAAGAGATCCTTCCTCTTGTGGTTGAGGGTTCTATGAAGTTCAGGGTCAGTACTCTTAATACTCATGATCCGGAACTCCAGCCCTTCCTAAAACCCACCCTGCACCCTAAATCCTAAACCCGAAACCCCCGAACCCTAAGCCTGTCTCAGGCGGCGTGCAGCGCTCCTGCGACGGCTGCTGGGCGACGCTGGGCACGGGCTCGCCTTGCGGCAGCAGCGCCTCGGCGGGATTTGGGGTTCGAGATAGGGCGTTTAGGGAGTGTAGGGTTGAGGGAGTTTAGGGAGGGGAGATACAGGGAGTTTAGGGGGTTGGGTAGTTGAAAATACCCGCTTTGGTCCCTCCTTTTATACCTGGACTGTTGTGGCCTGCCTAAGAAGGACCAGACCCTAAAGCCTTAAGAAGAAGCCCCTCAGCTCTGACTTGGCCGACTTAAGCCCTACCAAGCCTTGAAGTGTTTGTTGCATGTTCAGGGCTTTGCTGGTTAGAATGCCTGGCCATTCGTATATTTCACTGTCACTGTCAGCCTCTCGAATATGAGCCCAAAGGTTCACCAACCCCCGAAACATCTGGACCTGTCGGGGTTCTGCTGTTCCACGTATGCCAGGTTCACCCTGAACCCCAAGGCCTAAACCCTATAAGGCCTAAACTGGCAGTCGCCACTGCGTTCTCCGGGCCCTCAGGCTGGAGGAGACCTTCCACCTTATCCTCCCGCCCGAGGATGGGGAGGCGCTCAACGTGACCCTCGGGGTGATCCTTATATGGTTTATAGGGACCTATAGAATTCAAAGGGTTGCGTCGGTTTAGGGGGTGTTGTTTTAGAGTTTTCTGGGCTGAGGGCTTGGGAGTTTTAGGGATCAGGGGCGACTGATGCATGTTCATGAACATCAAGATTCTACCCAGCCAGCAACTCCTGCCACCTCTAGGTCAGCCAAAGGCATCAGGGAGCTCTGGGATCCTGTTTAACACAAGCCCCGAAAACTCCCCAAAAACCCCGCGAATGAAGTCCTAAATGCTCCCTGTTTAGGGTTTATGGGCTTATAGGGCTCATAGGGTTTATAGGGTTTATGGGGTTTCTAGGGTTTATGAGGTTTAATTTACGGGGTTTATGGGGTTTAGGGTCCTAAATGCTCAATGCTCCCTGAACCCAGGATTCGTCTCCTGGCGCCCACACCCTTCCACCGTTGTGCCGCCCTGGCTGGCGCGGAGGCGGCCAGCAACACTAAAGCCTCTCGAGAGTCTCCTTTAGGAACTATAGCTGTATGTCATCTACATAAAAAGGGTGAGGGGTAGTTAAAACATATGTTTGGTGTGCATCTGAGAGAGGAGTAGATAGATCCAGGCACACTTGCTGCAGGGTTTTTGGGCATGCAAGTTTGTTGGGCTGTTCGGGGATTTTCAGGGTTGTCTTGTTGGGGGCTTCCTGGGTTTGATAGGGAGCAGGCTCTTGACACCCCCGGGTCTCAGAAGAACAGCAAGGAACGGTAGACACGAAAAGCATGCAAAAGAGTTTGCTTTTTCCGCAGAGAAGAGTGCTCTTGTGGGGGAGGGGGCAGGCGTGGGGGGGCTGCGCTACTTTATGTCTTTCCTTGTCTTTGCAGGGTACGGTTTAGGCGTCGGGGCCAGCGAGGAAGTACAGCCCAAACTGCACTGGAAGTGCTTGATCCCTGACACCGGAACTCCCTTACAGGTCCTCCGGACCTTGTCGGCCTCATTGGCCTGGAGGCCGTGGCGCGTGCTCCAGGGCTGCGACGCCCCCGAGCGCGACGACGACTTCTTTGACTCCATGCCGGCTGAGCCACTTTCCAGGCGCCTCTCTCACCTGATTACTTGGCTACCCTGAAGTTGGCAGTGGGTCAAACTTGTTCTTGTAGCGCGACTGCCGTTGTTGAGCGTGTTTAACCAAAAAGGATGTTTTCAACACCATGGGTGGTCGACCTACGAATGATGCAACTCCTACAGTTCCAGGTTGTGTTTGGGTAAGTGTGTGTGTGTGTGTGTGCTTTTTTTCTTGCACTGCCCTTTGCTGTTTGTCTCTAATCAACCGAATCGCGAATCGGGTGGAAGGTATGATGCAGAAATGTTTTGTAGCATCCAAAGTCACTCAGGCTCTGCCTTTGGCTTTTTTTCCGGCTTTCCTGAATTCGCACAATAAAACAGCCAAGGTGCCAAGAGCGATGTGTGCGGGATGGCTATGGAGGCTTCGTGGTCCGTGGCACGCGCGCCTACTTCCGTACCTTGCCTTAAGAACCCTGTGCTTGTTGTCATGGATGTGGGTAGTTTCCTAAATTTGGGTACCCATTACAAGGCAGCGGCAGCACCCTTTAAAGAGGGATCCCCAAAAGGGGACCCCAATTTAGAGAACTACCCATGTCTGGATACTTCTCGAACGAAACCTCATACAGTGCAAGATGCGTCGAGCAGGAAATTTGATCGAGCGTCTTGGCAGTCTTGTCCGCCTTGACTAGCACATCAAGAACCTTAAGAAGAGCCCTGAACCATAAAACTTGGGATGTGCCCCCTTAACAGCCCTCAACAGGGACTATAGTGCCCCCCGATTATAATCCCGATTAAGGACTGTTCGTATCCCAACATATAGAAGCTAAACCCACCTGGTTAGGGAGCCCGGGTAGAGGCAAGCATGTCAATGAGGCATCCTTTGGCATCCTACAAAAGTTAGCAACGTGTTGGGGCTCGTTCTGCAGGCTGCCGCTACACTGTTGCTTGTGCTGCGGCCCTGTAGTGCAAACCCAACGGATACTGTAGCTTGCAACCCTAAACGGCACGCCTTATCATTCTCCCACAAGAAACCCAGTCGTGAAAGGTAGGCGGCCTGCGACCGGCTTGCTCCATAGCTGTGTGGCAAAGCCTGGGGACACGCTGCACATCGCCCCGGGGCCATCATGCCACTTTGGAGAAGCTTAGGTTCGAGATGTTGAAGCCGCACGGTTTTCTGTGTTGAAGGCGCGCATGAAACTTAAGTTCTACTTTCCCAAGCAAGGTCAGCTGCCGTTGCAGTCTCTCGCAGCACTGCTGGTGGGTCAAGTGGATGGCCGAGCGGCCATGGATGTGGCACTGGAGAGCGGTGACGTGCAGGCCGTCGTCGAGCTTGGCAAGCTGGGTTGCAGAGCGAACGAGGACGGCCAGGCCAGGACCATGACAGATGCGGCCATCCTGGACCGCATGCTCTACGGTGGCATGCCACAGTGGCTGGCGCGCACGGTGGGGAATTTATCCTATGCTGGCAGGCATGCGGATGATTGTGGGACAGTTCTGCAAGATGCCGAAGAGATCCGAGGCCGAGTCCTCAAGGATGTGGAGAAAGTGCAGCGGGCCACCGGAACCTCCACTGCTGTGGCAGAAGCCCTCCTAAGGCACTTCGGGCACAGCCCAGAAGCCGCCATTGGACAATATCAGGTCGATGCCAAGGCTGCAAAGGCCGCTGCGGGCATCCGCGAGGGCCCCGCATCCTCGGAGCTGGTCTGCGGCATCTGTTTCACAGGCGCGCGGGCGGAATTTCTAGGTGGGCCCTTGGGAGATCTTACATCTTCCCTTAGTGGGCTTAGGAGGGTCATCTTTAGGAACTTTTTTCAGAGAGTTTTAAGGGCCATCCAGGGTATTTTTGAGTGGGTGACCAGGTTTGGAAGGAGTTCTGAGTCGGATTCTATCCTTCCATTTCTATGCAGGGCGTGTTTATAGGGCTTGACAGCATGTCGATGTTGTATTGCGGAGTTCCAGATAGGCTGAAACAGGAAATGCCCCTGTGTCTTCTGGGAGTTCCTTCCACCCACTCATCTTTCCAGCATCGATGAAGGACTATAGCGTTCCGTTGATGGTTTTGAGGCCCCAGACGATAGATGCAGCAGAACTTGTAGTCAGAAACAAGGTGGCTAACTTGGTTAACTTCCTATAGACCATATAACCCTTAGACAAGTTCCTTGGTATACGGCTGTTTATGGGGGGTTCTAGGCCTAATAGCCCGTCCTGGCTTTGTCCAGATCCACTCTTACTGTGGATGGACAAAATCTTGCATGACCCCCTACGTTACACGTGTGCGACGGTTGGTAATCGAGCTCCCCACACCCCTCGAATTTCAATGTTGCGCGCGCATATGGGTGATGCAGGATTTCGGTCATTCACACACATGCACTTTCGAAGCGTTGCAAGGACAGCAATGTTAAGATTCAGGGTTTGGAAGGGATGACCTGCGTGATAAAAGTGATGCAGGATTTCGTCCATCAACAGTCTGGAGACTGGCAAGTTTTCGGAAAAACTGGTCTCTAGTCACGGCTGACCAAAGTCAACGGAGGGCCGTATGTGAGGGGCCAGGATGGGGCAGAAAGTCCGGAATGTGGTATTTTCAAGTTTCAAATTGTTTCCATAGTTTCAAATTAGTTTCCAATCAGTTTCAAATTAGTTTCAAAATCCAGTTGCAAAATCGCTGTTAAGGGGGAACTGCAATTTCTGTCCGCGCTTTTTGAAAACGAGGAACCTCTGAGATTCCTTCATTTTTCTGAATCGCGCGTAGAAAAATGCAGTTTCCCCTTAACAGCGATTTTGCAACTGGATTTTGAAACTATTTTGAAACTAATTTGAAACTACGGAAACGAATTTGAAACTTGAAAAACACGGCATTTCTGCTCGTTGCCGCTTGGCCACACCGAGAAAGAGGAGAGCTTAGGCTTGAAGCTGCAAAAGGTACATCTCCGACATTCTTCCCAAAGGCCATTCTCCGACATTCTTCCCAAAAGCCATTCCAGCACCAGCTCTTGCCAACAAGTCAGTCAATTATCTTGTCCGAGACTGTGGATGGACAAAATCTTGCATGACCCCCTACGTTACACGTGTGCGACGGTTGGTAATCGAGCTCCCCACACCCCTCGAATTTCAATGTTGCGCGCGCATATGGGTGATGCAGGATTTCGGTCATTCACACACATGCACTTTCGAAGCGTTGCAAGGACAGCAATGTTAAGATTCAGGGTTTGGAAGGGATGACCTGCGTGATAAAAGTGATGCAGGATTTCGTCCATCAACAGTAGGACTCACTGCACAACTGTGCCTCAAGTGCAGCCTTCGGGGAGTCGGGGAGACTTCTGCCTGGAACTCTAACCTATATGATGAGGCCCATAACCCCTCTCACCCCTGCGACCTTAGCTGCAGCTACACCCCGTCCCAGACCCTAGAACCTCTAAACCCCTGTAGGCCCTGACTTCAAAAATCCTTGCAAGGCCCTATGCACCCTTAAGACGCCTGAAACCCTACGCGCGCCTCCACCGCTGCAGGCCTGGAGCCTCAGCCAGGTGCACTGCGCCAGCTGCTGCCCTGCGAGGGATCTCATGCCTTCTGCCACTGGGACCTTGCTGCTTTTAGGGGCTGAGGTGAACCCCTGAAACCCTGAAGCCCGAAATCCCAAGAGCCCTAAAGTTAGGGTTTAGGGTTTAGGGTTGAGGGTTTCAAACCCTAGGCCCTAAACCTTGAAAGCCGGTAAGAGACTGTGTCGGCTCGTAAGGTCGGAACAATTACCACTACTGTTCCCTTATGGTCCCTTTATTAGAAAAGAGAACCACAGTAGCCCCCAAAGTCTTGTTATAATTCTTCGCTTTGTTATAAAGGAGTCAGAATAGCCCCCAAAATCTTGTTCTAATTCTTTTGGCTCCTACAGTAGTCATGAACAATGTTGGACCCCGCCATCAACAACACAAAGTGTGCACCTGGCATCAGCTTCTTATACCAGCTCTGAGCCCTCACAGGGCCACCTCAGTTGTATAGTTTCTTTTCGGAAACTTTTAGGGAACATGTTTGTAAAGCCCCTTAGACATATTCTTTTTTGTTGCGGTTCTATGTATCGCCTTCAGTCTTTAGCATTTTCAGAGGCCTGCGGGGCGCACCCCCCCCCCCCCCCCCCCCAGAAATCTCGAAGACTGCAGCGCGGCTTTTCAGGGATCCTTCCAGGTGTAGGGGTTTAGGGTTTAGGATTTAGGGTGTTTCGGGTTTAGGATCCCTCCCCTGAAAAGGGCAGGGCCTCAGCAGGCTGGGTGGGAATTTTGCTGGATGTTTGGGGTTCAGGGTGCGACCTGGTTTAGGGGCTTTAAGCGCCAAAGCCCTCGACCCAAAGCTTTGAAAGTTTCCATCACATGCCAGTCCAGATTCGCAGGTGATGCGTGCCTGCGGCAGTTTCTCGGCAGGTCTTGGAAGCGTTGTTCTGGTGGCTCCGTCTCTGCCTTTGTCTCCTACTCCCGCTCTGACTTTACTCTCTCTCTCTCTCTCTCTCGCTCGATGCCTGCGGCAAGTTGAGGAATCCTCAGAACACCACGCATCTTAGGTATCTGGAGGGCCTGCTGGCCGCTGGGAATGTCCGGGCCATGGTGTGCCCCGCAGCTCGGAAGGCACTCAGCTCTGAGATTCTGAGACCCCGAGCCTTGCGTAACTCCAGCACTACAACTACCACTACTACTACTACTACTACTACTACTACTACTACTACTACTACTACTACTACTACTACTACTACTACTACTACTACTACTACTACTAACTACTACTACTACTACTACTACTACTACTACTACTACTACTACTACTACTACCTACTACTACTACTACTACTACTACTACTACTACTACTACTACTACTACTACTACTACTACTACTACTACTACTACTACTACTACTACTACTACTACTACTACTACTACTACTACTACTACTACTACTACTACTACTACTACTACTACTACTACTACTACTACTACTACTACTACTACTACTACTACTACTACTACTACTACTACTACTACTACTACTACTACTACTACTACTACTACTACTACTACTACGACTACTACTACTACTACTACTACTACTACTACTACTACTACTACTACTACTACTACTACTACTACTACTACTACTACTACTACTACTACTACGACTACGACTACGACTACTACTACTACTACTACTACTACTACTACTACTACTACTACGACTACGACTACTACTACTACTACTACGACGACTACTACTACTACTACTACTACTACTACTACTACTACTACTACTACTACTACTACTACTACTACTCATATCGCTGAAGATTGCAGCCTCTGGCTTCTCTTCTTGGCATGTTCTTACTCGTTCCAAGCTTGATGCGTGCAGAGGCTGACCATGGGGAGAGGTGAATCCACGAAAATTCGCTTCGAACATCTGTAGATGTGGCCCAGCCCTACGGTAGACGCCAAACGCTTTCATCGTGTGACTCAAGCCTAGAATGAGATCTTCACCTTCACCCCAAACTGGCGAAGACAACCAGAAATCTGCCTAGATTGAGATTTCTAGCTGTCTTCGTCACTTTGGGCCCCAAGCCCAAAACCCTGGCTCGGGAGGCAGGTGGGGGTGCAAGATTACAGGTCCTAGGGTGTAGAGCAACCCGAAACCCTAACCCTCAACAGGGACCCCAAAGACCTTCCTAAAGCCCCAAAGCCTAGGAGCCCGAGTGCCGGCTGCCACTGAGCGAGGGGGCCGTTCAAGGCGCCTTCCAGGGCCCTAGGGTTTAGGGCTTGTGGGTTTGAAGCGCTTAGGGTGTCGGGTTTCTGGTTTAGGGTTTAGGGCTTTAGCTGCTTTTAAGTGCTTAGGGTTTAGGGTTTGGGCTTATGGAAGGTTTGGGCTTGGGGTTTGGGGCTATAGCACCGTAGTTACTGGGGACGTTGTGCACGGCAGTCTACTGTGTTTTGCCGTGTTCCCGAAATGGCACAGGCACCCTGTAAGCAGTCTTGCCGCTAAACAGCTTTACACTGCCCAATGCCCTAGAAGTCCCGTCATGAGCCCCAAACCCGAGACCCTAAACCCCGTAAAACCTGAACCCCCTAAACCCCTGTAATAAACCCTCTTAACCCCCTAAACCCTACAATGATCCCTCCAAACCCTGTGAAACCCTGTAAACCCCCCTAAGCCCCTCTAAACCCTACCGAAAGGGCCAAGCTTCCAGGTATCCTCGGACCAGCCGCGCGGGAAAAGTTTGTACGGCTTGCAGCGCTGCAGGCGACCCTGGAGTTTGGGTGGGGGGGGGGGGGGGCTCGGTTCTAGGGGTTCAGGGCTTCCTACAGGCTGGTTGTTTAGGGTTTTGGGTTTATGGTTCGGGATTTAGCTCAGGGGGCTCAGATAGCGGCTTGGGTTCAAATGCTTCGGGGTTACAGGGCTTTTTGAGGTACCAGGGGTCTCTTAAACTTGCAAAGACCTAAACCCTGAAACCTTGAACCCTAAATCTTAAATGCTTCTAAACAAATCCTGAACACGGGCTTTCCCCAACCTCTGGGCTGCGAGGCTGTTGACGCGGCAGCTCACATCTGCTGGTACCTGGGCTCTCAGTGGCACAGTACCCTTCGCCTTCCGTGTGTTCACCCTAAACCCTAAGCCCTAAACCCTAAACCCTAAATCGGGGGAGTTAGGGGGGCTTTTCGTTAGCTTACGGGTTTACAAGTGTTGGGGTTGTCGGCGTGTAGGAGCCCACCTTTGACCCTTGTCGACAAAGGCCGTTCTCTTTGTTGGAACCTGGAGCTTCCTGGATCTTGAAGGAATTCACACGGGCATGTCAAGGGAATGGGAGGAGGTCAGGGTTAACGATTATGCTCAGCGTTTAGGATGATCACTTTTCAACACCCCCCTAAACCCTAAACCCCAAACCCCAAACCCCAAACCCTAAACCCTAAACCCTAAACCCTAAACCCTAACAAAACCTTTGAACCTTGAAAGGTTTGTCGAGCACCGAGGTGCCCCCAGCCTGGATGCGAGAAGGCGGTCGCCAGGACGGATGGGCTGACAGTGCGCTGCGCATGCGGCTACGCCTTTTGCTCGGGGTGTGGCGTGGCAGCACGGGATGAACGAAGTCTAGCTGTGATCAAGAGACCGTTGTTCGTTTAAAGACACGGTCCTCAAGTAGAAGCGTCGGGTACGGATTGGGGCCTTTTTTTGGGACAGACTCATGGGGAACTAGATGACAGGGCGCAATGTCCACAAAAGCTACGCGAAGCCTGCCCAGAATCCTTCAGTCCTAAGCCCTCCCCCTCACATCCCCCACCAAAACCTAAGCTTGCTGAGGCAACATGCCTGGGGGCCACGAGCCCTGCAGCTGCGAGCAGATCGCTGCATGGAAGGCGGCTGAGGGTTCTAAGGCAGGAGGGTGTGTACCTACTGTGAAGGCTTAAGGAATGTAAGGGCTTTGAGATCTCGGCTTCAAGGTTGACGTGTTCAGTTGTAGGGGCATGCGGCATTAGCGTTTCGCTGCCTGAGGGCAGGTTCTTGTTCGGAGATCCAGCCTGCGAGGGCTCATGATGTGATGGTAGTCCCCAAAGTTATCCAATTGTGAAGAACTCCTCAAGGAAGCGCAAGCTTTAGAGTTCTTCAGAGGCTTCCCGTTGGCTTTGCAGGTTTGGGCCGATGGGTTTGGCCGGGGTCATACCCCTCAGGTTGTACCCCTACAGGTTTCCCTGAATATAATGCTAACATGGCCTCGGGACTCTTACACAAGTCTTGCGCCTTCAGCTTTCGGCATTTCTGAGGCCTCTCCCCCTCTTTTGTTTCGGCATTTCTGAGGCCTCTCCCCCTCTTTTGTCCAGGCGTCTAGGGTTTGGGATTCAGAGGAGGGTTAGGGTTAGGGTTAGGTTTAGGAGGGTGAAGGTTGAGGTGAGGGCTTACAGGGCTTAACTCCTGGGTGCGCTGCTGGGAGAAGTCGATCTCGGCGCAGGCCGCGTATGCCGACACGCTCATGGGGTCGGAAGAGCTGCGACGGACGCCCAGCTGAAATCGTAACATAGTCCCGAAGCCCATCAACTCGAAAGGGTTCAGGGGCCCCCACCCCCGCCTTCGCAGGGCTTCCTGATGTTGCCTGGCGTGGGCTACTGAGACTGGTAGTTTGCGAGATGAAGCCTCTGCTCATCTTGACGACTCCCGACGTGATCGCAATGCCCTAAAGATCCCCCCAAAGAAGCAGGAAGCCCCAGAAGTAGAAAGCAACTCCCAAACAATTCCGTGAATGTCAGAATCTCATAATAGCGCCTATGGCAAGCCTGAGGCGCCAGCAGGATCGGGCAGAAAACTGGGTGCGGCGGAACGCGCAACGCTGTCCCGGGTGCCGCGCCGTCGTCCAGCGCAATGGGGGCTGCAACCACATGGTGGCTCCGACTGTAGAAGCGAAGTTTGGGCAGGGATTTGGGTCTTTATAGTGAGTTTAGAGCCAGAACAGACGGCTGGCGGTTGTTGAGGGTTTCGGTCTTGTAAACTTGTAGGGTTGAAAGAGTATGCTCGAGGATTCCTTCTGTAGATCTTCATCCCTGCATTCCTTTTCCGATGGGTAGGACCTTCGGAAGTTTCATGAAGCAGGGTTTGAACTTCTTTTGTATGGTGAAAGCACCTACCGGGTGCCCTTTTTGGGCAATACAATCCTACCATATCCTACCCTATTATCTTCCCCCTTGTTGGGCGTAAGAGGATCTCACGCAGGACTCATGCAGCAGCTGCGGCTGGGAAACGTGCGGTTTGGAGGCTCTACATGAGTATTCACAGACAGGAAGAAAGAGGATGCCAAGCTGTGTTCCTTGCGTGCCTGGCCCCTAGTCCTACACAAAAAGCACCCTAAACCCTAAACCCCTAATCCCTAAACCCGACTCCCGACCCAGGTTTGCCGATGTGGGACTCACTTCTGCTATGCTGCATGGCAGATTTAGAGACTCCTATGGGGCTCGAATACATCTTCAAGAAGATTTAGGGGGTCAGGGTTTAGGGTTTAGGAGTCAAGGTAGTTTCCTAAATTAAGGTCCCTTTTTGCCCATTCTAAGACGACACCCTTTTGCAAGGGATCCCAAAAAGGGACCCTAATTTAGAGAACTACCCAGAAATTGTCGCCTAGGGGTAACCCCTTTATACTCTCCTTTCAAGGAGCCAATTAAGCCTGAGAGGTACAGGGTTGGGGTATGTTGAGTTGTTCTGAGATAGGCTTACGACTGTATAGAGCGATTCTGGTACTCCTGCTTGTGAGATTGAGGATATTGATCTGTCTTTTTTGGGATCCCAAGGTTGTGCAGTTTATCGGATCTGGGTTTGCTCGAGGGCTTCGGCGGCGTTTCGTGATGGCTGGGTAAGTCCTGTTTACATCTCCTTGCTGTCAAACTCGGCAGAAGCCGGCGAGCACATGCAGGAGAAGCAACAAGGGAACATCGCAAAGCACCCTTCTTTGACAAGAGAGCTGTTCCAATTTCAGCATACGCCGCACCTTCAGCTTTATGGTCCTTCAGCTCAAGCCCCCCGGGGTCTGCACCGTCAGGGACCAGGGTTTAGGCTTGGGGTTTAGGTTTGAGGGTTTAGGGTGTAGGGTTTAGGGTTTAGGGAGGCATGCCAGGACAAACCCGAACGAAGCCGATCCTGCGAGGTGTGCGGCCGCCCCTGGGACGAGCATACATCCCAGGTTGGCTCGGAGCTCTTGTTTTGCTTCCCGAAGCCCTACGTAAACCGCAAACCCTCAACCCTAAAGCCGGGACGAGTTCAGGGGTGAGGGTTCGGGAGCCCTAAACTAAACACCGCCAAGTTGCATGACAAGCCCTTTTGATGGGACCACAGCGATCCTTTTAAGGCTCCCCCCCCCAAACCTTAAGGTCGCAAAGCTAAGTCTACAACTGCTTAAATCCTACGGTGCCGTTGAGTGAGATACGTTGGTTGGGCATGATGCAGACCTAGTGGTGGGTCTTTAGGGTTTAGGCGCTTCTGCACCAAGCTCTATGCATGGACCCGACCTGCTGCCGAATGTGGGGCTCAGCGTATTGATGGTTAAGTGTCACGTTTGCGTTCGATCTGAGATCATCATCATTAGTATGAGCTTGGTTGTTTTTGCGCCGCACAAAGGGTTTTGAGGTTTCAGACAGAGGCAGACAGAGAGAGAGAGAGAGAGACAGAGAGAAAAACATATCATCAATTTGCTTCGGCGGTATATCTAGCTAGCCTGACGCCTGAAAAGTAATCATTCATATTCTGTTTCCTTGCTGTTGCTGCCAAAAGAAGTTCCGTATCGGAGTCGCATGGCAGGGCCTGCTGTGCCATCGTTTTAATACTGAAACAAACCCCGAATGAGGGAAGCCTCTCATTCGAGGCTGAGATTTATGGGATGTTGTACCGGACATGAACCGCAGGAAGGGGGCATCAACTACTACGTCTGCCGAATGCCGAAGGCAAGTATGGGTGCGGACTGCGTGCACCTGTGCAAAGCTTTGCGTCGTGGTGATCATGCGCCTCTAGGGCCCGACGTCGAGGGTAGGGCGAGAGTTTCAAGCCTGTAAATCCCAAGCCTGAATTCTCATACTCGAACTCCATGGTTCACCTTCCAAAAAATTCAACCCAAGCTTGTTATGTGATTTACGTACTCCTTGAAGCCTTATGATCCCTCCCTTGAGGCAGACAGGAACAGCCAAGCCTTGGACAATACGATGGTGCAGCAGTTCGAGGCCGGCGCAGAGCCCTGCACCCTAGGAGCCTACTCGTGAGGGTGTGGGGCGTAAGCTGGGGTTTAGGGTTTAGGGTTTAGGGTTTAGGGTTTAGCGTAACTTCGGGTAAGCAGAGCCCTTAGGCTCAACATAGCTCGGAAGCCTTGTATAGGAAGGCCTTTTTTTGGCCCAAAGACCCTAAAATTAGAGGCCTTAGAGCCTCAGGGGAGAGGAGGATGTTTGGTGGCCGTAGACCTTAAAACCAATGCTAATTTGTAAGCCTCATAGAACCCCTCAAGCCCAGATGCACCATGCATCTGAAACCATGACCTGCGCTCGTGTTCCACAAGCTGCGAGGATCCCGTGGCTGAGTTCCAGATGCTGCAGAGGTGCTTGTTGATCTTGGGCTTTATGTTGATGATGCAGATGGGATAAACTTGGCAAACTCACTCTTGGGGGGGGGGGGGGGGGGGGGGGGGGGGGGGGGGGGGGGGCACGGGTGGGTTATCCTAGTCGGCCCGAAACCCACAAGCTTGCGTGACTTCCATTACATATGTATGTATATATAGGCTACGTATACCTGCATGTTGCCATTTAGTTTAGTCTATGTAGCTGTAGGGCTCGCTGCCGCTGTGTGACTGCCAGGTCGGAGCGATGGGCCCGCCTTTGGGCAGAGCAGGCCCGTCAGATGTGCCAGGCGGGTTCCGGTCTTGCAGATGTCCGGAACTTTGAGGTACTGAGTGGTGATTTGTTGTTTCGCGCGAGCTGGATCAAACCATGCCTGCCTATCTCTGATTCGGGAGGGCATGAAGTCCACCGTGTCTTCGAGAAGACGAGAATAAACGCCCTGAACCTCTTCCAGCCCCCCTCGAAGGTGTACAGAACATGGAATCTTTAGGCACGACTACAGCCTTTAGTGCTAGTAGGTGTTCGGGTGGGTTAACAAACCTTGATAGGCCCCCAGTGGTGCCCTTCTCCAGGCCTTGCAGTATTCGGAAAGTGCAGACTTTGGCACGCCCCGGGCTTGGTTAAGGAGATGACTGCTCTTTGCTGGGGCTCTTCGATGTGTGCTCAGCTCTGTACATACGTATTCCTGTATATACATACAGTAGATTTTTGCTAGTAGGAAGTAAACGACAAGCCCCTCAGGTCCTTGGAAACTGCGATGCCCACGGAAGAGATGCTCTCGCCACGCTTGCGAGCTTGTAGCACACACTTGATTAGGCAAGGTCTCGGCAGGCTTGCGAGCTCCCAGATCCTCATATAGATATTGGGGTTTGTGAGGCTTCAGAACGCAAAAGACGGTCATATTTGTTGTGGAAGGCCTCATCCACTGCAACCAAAGCCCTTTTTGAACCCCCTAAAGCCTGAACCCCGTTTATACACTTTAGAGACCATAAAGCCATAGCATCGCCCGGCGATGTGAAACCCCTTAAGCAGCCCAAGCCTCGGCCTCCACATATCGTGATGTCCTGGTGCCAGCACCTTTCTGTTGGACGCAGTGGAAACCCTCATTGCCGCGCAGCCGCTGACCCAAGGGTGAGGGGGGCCACGCAGATGGGCAAATCTCTATATTTCTACAGGGCTGTGAAGTGTTCACGGTGCCTTCTGTTGGGGTGTGCACCGGCGATGTAGGTTTTAGTACCTACTAGTACTTGGGCCATGTTGAGGCGAGGGGCTCCTCTTGAAAGGGAAGGCCTCCTGGGCATCGTAAGAGCATGTCGGGCGGCGCGTGCTCCCTTTCAGCAAAAAGAGGTTTCAATATTAAAAGAGAGGCCGTAGGGTTGAGGGTTTTAGCCGCACGGCATTCCGACTACATCTGAAGAGAACAATGTCGAAAGGTTTCTGACTGCGTTATCAGGGTTTAGGGTTGACCTCCGAACCGCCATGAGGAGACTGGCTGTTGGCGGTTGGTTCTTGTTGGTTGTTCATTGGTTGGTTGCTTGGTTGGTGGCTTGGTTGGTTGCGCGGTTGGTTGGTTTTTGTCGTTGTTGCTGCTGCTGCTGCTGCTGTTGTGGTGGAAGGGTTGCGATTGTGCTTGTGATTGTTATTGTTCTTACAGTTCTTCTTATTGTGGCTACCATTTTTGAATCAGGAGTATGAATAATAATTACGAATACTATGGAGTTTATCCTCTTCTGGGTGGTGGTGGTGGTGGTGGTGGTGGTGGTGGTGGTGGTGGTGGTGGTGGTGGTGGTGGTGGTGGTGGTGGTGGTGGTGGTGGTGGTGCAACCAGCAGAAAAAAACATAACAACCACAACAACCAACCCATCAACCAGCCCTCCAAGCAAGCAAGCAACCAACCGAAAACAGCCTACGGCCTAACGGTCTAACTTCCAAAGCCCAAAAACCTCAGCTCAGGGACACCCTCCGCTTCTGCTGCATATTCAGGCCCGCGGCTTTCACTGAGGGTTTCGGCTATAGGGTTCACAGGGCTGGATTCGGTGTTTGTGGCTTAGGGCTCAAGGCTTTGCGTCTTAGAGTAAGGCTTCGCCTTAGGTTTCGGAGATTCGGCCGGTGGGTGGCTCCGGCATTTACCTTTCAGGAGCTATTGCCCTTCCCCCACTTTCCCCAAACCCCTCCTGGCGCCCCTGATTAGTGGCCCTTGCACCCCTCTCCTCACCCCTCTCCCTGCTTTCCATCACCGAGGCAAAGGTAAACCTCATGTGTGCATCAGCAGGAGTTCGCGGTGGCATGCTTGTGAAAAAGCACAACCCCCCCCCCCCCCCACATAACGGCTTTGGGGTTCTTCAGGTCAGAACTGTCTGAATGCCAGCCGCAAACTCTGGAACTCAGAACTTTCGATGTCGATGCCCCAAGCCCTATAAACCCTAAAACCCCCCCAAAACCCCCCCAAAAAAGCACCAATATTAAACCACACAAATTAGCCAATACAAATCCCTAACCCCCTCCCCCCCCCCCTAACCCCCCACCCCCCCCCCCCCCCCCCCAAAATCCAATATACAAACCCTAACACCCTAACATCCTAACACCGTAACACACTAACACCCCCCCCCCCCCAAAAAAAAAAGAAGTCATAAACAATAAAGAATGAGAAAGAAAAAGAAACAAGATACCAGGTGGGACGCTGCACGGAGGCAGTTGCAGACCGGGCCGCTCGAGTCGCAGACCCAGAGACGCCCCGGCTTCTCGAGGCTTTTCGTGGACTTCCAGCATCACCTTACGACTTCTGAGTTGGTCTTATAAGGCCTTCGGGTTTTCGGGGTTTGGGGAGTATAGGGTTTATAGGGTTTAGGTTTATGAGGTCTAGGGTTGAATTCGAATTTAGGGCTTACTTTCGGGATTCTGGGTCTGACACCTCCCCCTCCCTTAAAGCTCCTTAGGTCCCTCTGTCAGAGCATCCTTTTCCTTTGGTGTCTAGTCGCGGCTTGGGGCCTGGGGCTTCGCGGTTACGTGCGTCATCCCGCATGATGTCCCATACTATACCCCTCTAGCTTGTTAGGCCAAACTACCCCCTCCCAGATAAGCAAAGCTTAAGTAGTGGTCCCTATTTTGGAGTTGAGAGAACTGGGGAGGGGTAATAGTTCGGCATGTTTCGGGGACGCTAGAACCGTATGCTCGAATGCGAGGTTCTGGCTGGGTGAACTGGCCAAGTGCAGCAACACCCTGCAGGTGCTCCCCGATAACTATTGAGAGTCACTTGCCCTGAGCCCTCTTACGTCAACATGCAGGGTTTCGGGCTTCTTGGGCTCAGGTTTCAGGATGCAGGTGGGCCCTACACCATGTCTTTCAACTAAACCCATCGAACACGCAGGGCCATGCGTCTTGCAGGCTCGGGATACTCACCCCGGATTTACACATCCCCTGACGACAATCGAAAATCCTAAGGCCCTAGTTACACCCCGCATGCAGGGTGACTGTTTAATTTGTTAGTTGTCGGGCTGGAACCCCAAGCCCTGAAGCCTTCATCCCAACAACATTACGTGCGCCACCCTGAGATCCATGCTTTCAACCTCGCGCGCCAATTCCAAGCCTTGAAAGGCCCCAAGAACCCTATAAAGCTGTCGCAGAATCGAATGGTGGCATCCCTTCCCCTCAGCCTCCTTTAGCCCCAAAACCTGAAATTGGCCCAAACACCCGCCTTCGGGCCTCAGGGTTAGAAGGTTCTGAGATGACACACGCAGAAGAATGTCGGGCTCTTGGGGGTTCGTAAGTCTGGAACCCTAAGAGCCCTGAGCCCCCAAACCGAAACTCGAAAACCTGAGCCCCGAGCTTGGGGTTTAGGGATGTTTATTGGGGTGTAGGGTTTAGGGTTTAGGGTTTAGGGGTTTAGGGTTCAATGTTTAGAGTGTCGGAAGCTACTAAGCCAAATTGGCTCTTCGGAGGCGGCCTTGGGTCCCACCTTTGAAGCGGCGTGCCTCGGAAGCGACAAGCCATGTGGGCCTGAGCATTGATCCTACACCTGCCGGAACCCATATTACGGCAGGTGGACCATCCCTAAACCCCAAACCCGAAACCCAAACCCTAAGCCCTAAACCCTAAACCCAAACCCTAAACCCTAAACCCTAAGCCCCAAACCCTAAACCCTATCTTCTATAAGATTCGAGAGGTCCGTGAGAAGCCCAACACCCTAGCTGCAGTCCCGCCCAAAAAAAACGCCCGGGAAATCTTGCCCTTTAGGCCGCTAAAGCATTTGCACGGAATGACACTCGACGGCCTTTACAAGGAAAGGCCATCCATTGTCAGTCAATCTGCGCCCTAAACCCTAGAACTTCAGAACCCGAAATCGCCCTACATATGCCTACATAAACCTACAGAACCCTACAGAACCCTACAACTCTAAGCCCTATACACCGTATAAACCCTAAACTGTAAGGTGGAACTCGGCCGGCAGCCCACCCGCGCCCAGCGACACCCGCTGGACGGCGCTGGAGTCGCAGGGGTGCGGGGCACGGGAGAGGGAAGGACCTCAGGGACCGAATGACCAGACTGTTTGCTTCAGAAGCCACCACCCTCCCTCCAGCCCACCCCAAAAAGAAGAGTAATCGTCCCTAATATTGCCCGAACAAGGAAGATTTTCTTTAGTTTTTGGGTGGTTCTGAAGCCAGTAGTAGATGAAGCCCCTGAATTGGGGTCACTATACACTGCATACGACTGTCATCCCTGCTCAAGGGTCTATCGACCGTAGAAGCCCTTTCCGGGTTCATGTAGTGTTGAGGGGATCGCGGCTTTGGGGTTTCAAGTGCCTGGCTGATTGCTGTTTTGGGCTTTGAGAGCTTTTCCGCTTAAGGTCTGTTGAGTTTTGGGTGTAGGTTGGGCTCAGGGGTGGTCAGGGGCGGCCCACATTGCCAGGGGGCCTCGCAAATGCCAGCAGAGTGAGGTGGTCCATAAACTGAGGGGCAGCTCTGGAGGAAACCCAGGTCTTTAGCTAAGGGAGTTTCTGTGGCGTCCGCGTAAGACGTTTGAGCCGTACCTTGATAAATGCGAATTTTGCATGTACTGTGAGCAGAAGGATTGAACCCCAAAAGCTCTCAAGAGGTTTGTGGGGGCTTTATGAAACTTAGCTTTACTGCAGTTTTTTTTTTCGTTTGGACCGGGTTTGGGGGTTCAGGAGCCCGCTACACATGAAGAGTCGGGCGGCGCGGGCGGAGGGGGGTTTCTGTGGGGCTTGCGCACCAGTGCCACCCCACCTGCTCAGCAGCTTCCGGTGCATCCAGGGAGTTTATAGGGTACGTAACCCTAAACCTGATAAACCCTAAACCCTAAACCCTTAACCGTGAGTTGGGGTGTAGACTCCAGGGCTCACATCTATAGGCGACGAACATCGAACTCCTGCTGCAAATTCCTTGGCCTTGGATGCTGTGTAGCCTCACTTCTTAAGATTGCTGACGTCAGGCACCTACGGGGAGTTGCGTGCCGCCTGCATGTGCTCCAGTCACGTACGGGCCCTGTTCGGGTTGGGATTTCTGGTTTTGTTTTGCAGGTTCCAGAGTTAAGGGTTCGGGATTGTGATTTCGGAGTGTTAGGTCTAGAGCGCACGTAGGTCTTGCTGGTGTACGGGCGGGTGAGACAAGCTTTGCAGTAGCTTCTGGAAAGCCTCGGTACTACGCAGGATCCGGATAGTCCACGTAGTCATGGATGCTTTCGAGTTGAAGATCACAGGCATGGTGAAGCACGGGAGGCCTGTTTGGTCACATAATTATGTGTCTGTTTGCACTGGGATCTAGTCGCAGAACGCCCCAGTACCACTACTAACCAAAGCAGTTGCACGTGGCTTTGTTTGAGGGCTTGGCGCGTAGGTCCGGCTGCGCGGCTGCTAAAAATGAGTCGCGGGTAGGCCCGCATAGGAAGTCCACAAAATGATGCGAGCCCACACAAGGCAATATACAATGCTCAGGTAGCTATATAATATGTGCACGTATGGAAATTCCTAAACTATAAGCACTAAACCCTCAACACAGGCACACACACACACACACACACACACACACACACACACACACACGCACACAAGACACACGTACACGCATAACTCTCGCAACACACACAACTCACACAACTCTCACACCTCACACCTCACTACTGAGCTCGATGGCACCATACACTATCATACACGGCTGAAAACTCCTAACAGAAGCCCCAACTTTTAGACAAAGAAGTGTGCATGCAGGCAGGCACGTACTCCTATTGCGTGGGCCCTAAGCCCGAAGCCTCACAGCCCTCTCAGTCTCCGTCCTCCCAGACACCCGTCCTGCTTAGAGCTCCGAGGCCTGGAAGATCTGGGAAGACTGAAAGATGCGGTCAGGGCCTTAATAGGCTCTGAGGATGGGCTTTCGGGCTTAGTGTTCCTTACGAGCTCCAAGCCTTGAAAAAGGATAATCGCTGTATACCGCTTCGTTTTATCTTTGAGATTCGCAACGCAACCTGAATCAAACAAGGCTTTGGGTTCGTATGGCAGGGTTATCAGTTTACTGGTTTAGGGTCTTATATTATTCGCCCTCCCGGCTTCGAACTTGATGCCGCTGCCGCAGGCCTTTAAGTTGTCCATGGGCTTTGCAGCGAAGTCCTAAATCCCGAAGCCCGTAGATGATGCACCATTTAAGGCCCATAGCCTAAAACCCCCCAAAACCTAAAACACAGTGAGTTAAGGAAACCATGCAACCCTAAACGGCCCAAAGTGGATCTGTACCGATGTGACAGAGCGAACCCCTACATGTCGCGCCAACGCCGAAAATGCAAATTCTTCGTTCGCCCCCATGCTTGGAGGAGTGGCGTAGATTCCCGAAATGCCACACTTGGTATGAAGTGGAGACTGTACCAATTAGGAGGAAGGCTTCGTGCTCCAACAATGAGGAACGCGACCTTTACCCAAAAGAGGCAACTCAGAACCCTACGAAGCCTGTAAACTCCTAAACCCTACGAACCCTATGAACTCCAAAAAACCTAAGGTTCGCCGACTGCGGGCCCGACTCCTTGCCGGGGCCCGCTCCGGGACCTACTACGGGGCCCCTGGTCCCAGAAACTTGGGGGAAGCTATCGGGTTCGGAGGTTCGTGCGCATGCATGTGTGTTTGCAAATATGGCAATACAATGCACAACGCAATGCACAATGCAATGCATTAGAGTCAGGGTATGTCAGGGTCAGAGAGAGAGAGAGAGAAGGACAGAAGAAGAAGAAGAAGAAGAAGAAGAAGAAGAAGAGAGACCAGCGACTGAGACTGATAACATGAAGTCTCCTCATTAATGTCCCCCGCCCCCATCCCAGGCTGCGCCCGGTGTACTGGAGCAGATGGGAAGGACTTGCTGCGCACAAATCGGTAAGTTTGCTGATCCGAAGCTAGAGGTTGAGGCCCCCCCCCCCCCCTCTTCAAGCGCAAAACCCCTTGCCCTGCATCTTACCGACAACCGTTCTTTGCCTTGCCGAGCTTCACTTTGCTCTCACAGCAGCTCCAAAAGCGTTCTTGCTTTCCCCCGCTTGGCAGCCATGGCCCTCCGAGCATTGTTCGTGTTCATGAGCTTTGCATGGGCCTTTGGGGAGGATGTGACCGAAGCGCTGGCGTCGGATGACGTCTGCGCTGATGGGCAGGAGTGCAGCCTGGAGCTCCACCAGCTGCGCGGCATGAAGGTCGACTACCTGGAGGCTTTGGAGGATGCTTCCAATGATGAGGAAGATGAGGAGGAAGCCGTGTACGTAGAAGAGGAGGTGGAGGGTGGTAGCTGCACCAACGCCAATGACATGAAGGTGTGGAAGCACGGTGGAAGGAAGAGCTTCGACGCATCCCTCAACCACTGTGGCCGCTCCTGCGCTGCAGGCTATCCGTGCACCAAGGACTGCCGGCATGTTTGTTTTGGGGTTTTGCGGCCATTTGTTTTTGGTTTCGGGAGAACAGTGCTTGTGTCTGGGGGGGGGGGTTCGGATTTGACTACGGCTGTAGTGAAGCACGGAAGGACTGCATGCAGAAGAAGGGCTACTCGGCTGGCTGCGCAGGCTGCATGGCCCAGCTGGTGGGCTGCTCCAGGGACCACTGCATGAACCAATGCACTCTGCTGGCTGCTAGAAGAGGTTTCTTTGTGCTCTGAAACTTGCGGTTAAGGACAGCTTTATCAAGAACCGTTGTTTTGGATGTTCGGATGTAGAACTCTCTTGGCAACTCCAAGCTCAGGCATCACGAACGACAAGGCACCCGCCTGCACCCACTGCGTCAAGTCGAGCTGCCGACCCAAGATGAAGGCTTGCAGCGGGCTCAACGCTGGAGGCCACTGAGATGCGCACATGTCCACCACAAAAGCACGGATGCACCCAAGGCGGTGGCTCTGATGTTTCAATCACGCTTTCAAGTCTGCAACAGCGCTTGTCCTTGAAGCATTGCCAGAGGACACCAGACTTCCCACAGGCTTGATGGCTGCCATCTCACAGAAAACAGTGTGCGTGGGCAAGGGCGAGGCTCCTCTTGATGTTCGTAGGCTGCTTCACCGGGCATCTGCCTACTGCTGAATCCAGCTATGTAGGGCCTTTTGGGCCTTTCGAGCCCTAAACCCTAAACCCTAAACCTTAAACCCTATAAACCCTAAACCCTAAACCCTATAAACCCTAAACCCTAAACCCAGCACGAAAACTCCCAGCAGCGCAGGAAGCTCCTCACATGGCCATGTCCCTGGAGTTCTCGGACCCGCTCAGGGTTCGTGATTTGGGACTAGAACTCCCTGTGGGTGGTATTGAGTTCAGGGCTGAGAGGTTTAGAGTTTAGAGCTTAGCATTTTGGGCTACTTCAGGTGTTGGGATGGGAAATAGGTGTGTGGTGGTTGGGGTTCGGGTTTGGAGTTTCCGGTTTGGGGGGTGTCAGGGTTTAAGATCTTCAGGGTTTCAAGCTTTCAGACATAAGGGCTGGTTGGTGCGGCTTGTGGATGATTTGGGGGAGCCTTTGGTGTTTATCCGGGCATTTCAGGGCTCGATGGGCGATAGCCTGGGCTTCACGGGCACATGAACGACGATTTCTTGTAAGCCCTCTGGACCCTACAGCACCCCCCCCCCCCTCCCTCCCAACCCAACAACGAACCCTGGGAGGAGGGGGTTGAGGAATCGCAGTAGCATTTCAGCAGGCGCTGCTTGGGGTGTTTGGTCAACGGAACCCTAAACCCTAAATTAAACCCTAAACCCTAAACCCTAAAACCTAAACCCTAAACCCTATAAACCCTAAACCGAAGAACCTTGGAAGACTCCTTTTTTCCCTGCTACGGTGAGGCTGGGCTTCTGACCGGCTGCGTGACAAATCCAATATTCTCCGAGTGGTGGCTGCTCCTTCAGTGCACAGGGTTTAGAGTTTAGGGGTTTAGGGTTTAGGAGTCAGGGTTTTCAGTGTTTGACATCCGAGTCAGGCAGCGCTATACATGCGAACTCCCGCACAGTTGGAGGCAACGCCGGGTTTCAAAGCATGCACAAGGTGGCATGCAAATTCAGTGAAAGCCCAGGCTCTGAACCATAAGCAGGTTTCGGGGCAGTGGGTGTTTAGGATGGTGTTGAGAGGCCGTATTGAGTCTTTCACGCCATATAGGGAATAGGGATGGTGGAGCTCGATATCTGCTCCAGCCAAACCTGCATGTCCTGGATTGCTGGAGCAAAAGCGGGAGTTTGGGGAGAAGGATATGCGTGCAATGTGTGCGCGAGATGAGTCGGTCCAGTTGTACAGGGGTTCTTGCTGAGTGCTCAGGATTTGCAACTGCCACTGTGTCGAATACATCGAATCTATGAGTCGCGTCCTCTTAGTCGGAGGGCGTGTCATCATTGAGATTTGCAGCGACTGGTGTTCAGCCGGGGTCTAGGGTTCGAAGGTACCGCCGCCGCACGACGCACCGACACGATGCCCAACCACAGAATTCTGCAACTACAGCTTCCGTGCGACGCTCGCGGACGCTTCGACGAGGATTTCGCCACCTCTGTAAACAGGAGCCCTTCGGAAACAGCTATAAGAATAGTCTAGCTTGTCTAGCTTCGAACCGCGAAGGTGTATCCCCATCTGCACAGAAGAAGCGGGCGCGTGTCATGCGGAACAAAAGCAGCCTGATCTTGGCAGCAGGTCCTCGAAGGCCACCAAGTAACGACATGTTTTGCGGCCGCATGCGGCCGCATACAAGTCACAGAATCGGCCCTCTGTCGGACTGCACGCCTTGCTCCGAAGAATTCATGCAAACCCCAGACTCCCATGATCTCCTATGTAGCCCCTACCGTCACCCCATCAAACCCTAGTGTGCCAGGGCTGCTACAGTAGGGCCTAAACCCTAAACCGTTTTGCCATTCGGCTCGAGCCTGGTGCGTGACTAAACGCCCGAGAATTGCCCACACGTCAGACTGCACCCCTCAAACGACCTCTCGGATCTTGAAATGGTAATGAAGGCTTGTTCGGTTCAGGGTCCAGGGACCACACAGCACTTCCCACCCTTTCTTTCTCCATCCCGCTGCACACAAGCGAAATTGCTGCTGGACACTTGCGGAGACTGTCTAGCGAGTCTAGTGACTTTTGGCATCGTGTGGAGAAGCCTGGCTACAGGCAGCGGGCGTGCCTGCCAAAATTTTCGCTACTGCGCAAGTACTGCCGGTAGAAATTTGGTGACCCTTGCATGCGCATCCTTGGCAGTTTCGTGTCAGCGCGTTTATGAGTTCAGGGTGCTGCTTGCTGCTTGCTTCACAGGTGCACTCTGCCCTCAGCATGGTGGCGACAGAGGCATGGATGAAGAGTGCATCTCGAGAGCCAGCCCCCACTTTATTCTGAGTATACCGTTAAGGTCCCCATGTCAGGTGCAACTTTCGGGGACGGGGATAAGTTTCGGTGGCTTGGCCATTCACAAGAAGCAACCGATTATCTGTACGTTGTGACCGATCGCCTGACCAAGGTCGTCGTGTCTTTCGCCTCTCTCGCATCTCTCTCTCTCTCTCTCTTTTTCTCCTTCCCTCCCTTCTCAGCTGACGTTTGCGAATGTTGTGCCGCTTCGCAAGCTGTGAAGGACACCGGGCAAGCTCCCAAACCTCGCTAGTTGCTGCGTACATGCTGCGCGATGCCTCTACGCCAGCCAAACTCCAACCTTGTCGGAAAGAACATGTGGACCTGCAGACACATGTCGCAAGCCTTCCTGGAAGTGGCAGGTTTGACGAATGGCTAGATGCTGTACTATACCCTAAACCAAAACCCTAAAGCCCGCAACCCCCTGATTACAAGCTTCTAAGCCTGTAAAGTTTTGGTGGGGCTCTGAAGAGAGCCCATCCTGGTCCTTCCTTGGCTGATTGGAGGCATCCCAGCCTTCATTCCCGCGAGCTGGCACAGAGGAGCCATTGGGGGTTTAGGCTTTGGGGTTTGGGGTTTGGCGTTTGGGGTTTAGGCTTTGGGGGTTTGGGGTTAGGGTGTAGAGTTTGGGGTCCAGGGTGTAAGCCCCTTCCCCTTCCCTTCCGCCTCCCCGCCTCCCCGCCCCCCCACCCCCCCGCCCCCCCACCCCCCCGCCCCCCCGCCCCCCGCCCCCCTGCCCCTCAAACTTGCTTGAACAATGACATGCGTCGACCTCAAACCGCAAATTGGCAGGTAATTGGCCCGAAGCCCTTAGCCCAATATATCCCTCTCGCGAGGTATACTGGGCTCTCTGGGCTTTTTTGTTTAGGTTCCCTGCTGTTGTCCTTTTATTCCTAGGTTCTTTTTGTAACCCCATCGCTTGTACTTGTTAAGAAGCTCCCTTGTGTTCCTCTGTGCCGGAGAATCCTAGCAGTGGTGATCGTGGACTGAGCCATAGACCCGCACGGACGCTAAACCGTTTGGTGTGGGTGTGGCGGGCTTAGAGGGCGTACACAGTAGGGGAACCCCTACTAAACCCCAAATGTGTGTGAGGGAACTTTCTCAACCTGCATGGCGTAATAGGGATCATACTATTATTCCTCTTAAGGACTGCTAGTATAGGGGGAACATCCCAAGTTATGGGCTTATAGTTATAGTGCTTGGGGTTTTGTGATTCGTAGCAATGGCCTCGCTTTCGCACTGAGACCTGGGGACTCCTGTGATGTCATATGGCCTGGATTCCTGGATGGAATTTCATGATGCGCGGATTCTTTTTACAACCACATACCCCACTATTCCCTCCCTTAATACTTAAGGACCCTATAGTTTACGCCTCGCCTGCTATTCCGCCAGATCATCACCGAGGGTGATATGCTGGCAGCGCTTCCTGTGCAGGGACCCTGGACAACTTCTAGATTGCCGGAAGCTTGCTGTAACTAGTATTTGCTTAAGAACCCTGAAAAGAACAAAAGATAGCAATCCCCGTAACCCCTATGAGGAAGATTGTTTCCTCAGTTTTTCGTGCGGTTCTTAGGCAAACGACAAGCCTAGGTCCCGAGCCCCCTAACCACAAGTGCTCGGGCTTGATGTCACGACCCTCACTAGGATCATGCGGTCTAGGGTTATAACCGAGGCACTCAAGCCACTCTAGCGCTAAACCGCATAAAGCCAGTAGAACCTATGAAGCCCTCACCCAAGTGGCCTATTGAAGATGCCCTAAAGACTTCTAACACGTTGCCCTTAGGCCCTTATCATGCGGGAGGCACCCAACAACCCTCAAGCCCACCAAAGCCCTGAAGCCCCAAAGGCCCCCTGAAACCCCAAAAGCCCCCAAGGGGCCCAAACCCCAAACCCCAAACCCCAAACCCCAAACCCCAAACCCCAAACCCCAAACCCCAAACCCTAAACCCTAAACCCTAAACCCTAAACCTCAAGTCAAGGCCCCGCTGCTCCTCGGAAGTGATCAAGCCCTCGGAGCTGTTCCTGGACTTGATGATGCCCGGGACCCACAAGTTTCACACCAACTTTCTGTTGTGCTAGGAAGTGTACTGTATCATATATGTCTTAACTATAATATATATATATATATATGTATGTGTGTGTATGTATGTATGTATGTATGTATGTATGTATGTATGTATGTATGTATGTATGTATGTATGCATATATATATATATGTACATACATACCAAAAGTAGTAACTATTTTCGTTGTCCTCAAAACACAACAACAATAACCATCGCTGCTGGTCGAGGGCCTCGGCCTAGCTTTTTTTGCAGGGAACGTGGGGTTTAAGTCAAGAGCTTGTGAGGTTGAGAATGATGTGGGGCGACTTTAGGGTTTAGGGTTTAGGGTTTATCTGCGATAGAACTTCAGGTGCGGGCCTTGTTAAGGGACCACCAAGTAAAGTAGCGCATCTGGGCTTAGTTCGTTCGCGTACACGAGACCCTGGGCCCCAACCCTCCATGGCTAAGGTTCAGGGTTTGGGGTTTAGGGTTTAGGGTTTAGTGTTTAGGGTTTAGGGTTAGGGGGTATAGGGTTTAGGGTTTTTAGCGTTTAGGGGCGACGAGAGGCTCGACCCGCTGAAGAAGGACTTGTCCCCCGCCGCGCGTGGCAAGAGGACTGGTTGTTCAGGGCGAGTACCAAAGTATTTGTGCACAAATGGCTGTTTTGGTCGGGGAGAAGCAAACTGAGCTGCAATGGCACTCGCACATGGGAAGATCCTCTCATTTACCAGACTGGGGCGGGAACGAGGTCAAGGGAAGAATGGACCCTTCTCTTCCTCGTATTAGGCTCCGATTACGACAAGGTGTAAACTTCATGGGGTCCAGCCTCATTACCGGAACATCCTGGAACCATCAGCGATACCCCTAAACCCTAAACACCAAATCCCAATCCCTAAACCCTAAACCACCAGGGTTTGGGAATAGGATGATCCTGCACCCGACCCCAAATTGACTCGATCCGATCCGATCCGACCTGACCCGCAGTACCTCCTCGACCCTGCCGACACAGACGCAGCCGGCCCTCGCCCCAATCCTTTCTGTTGGTTATGAGGGAATGAGGGAATGAGGTACCCCATATAATCCCTTGAATGGTATGTATATATATATATAGTCCTAAATACATATACATATATATATATATATCATATAATTTACATGTAATATATATATATATATGATTGTATAAGATAAATAGGGCACCTCATTCCCTCATACTAACCAACAGTAAGAATCTGGCTTCTTTTAGGTTTGAGGGTTTTGGGTTTAGGGTTTAGGGGTGTTCCCCTCTGCCTGAAGATGCGCTTGTGCTTCTGCTCTGCAGCTGAGGGTTTGATCTGAAAGGCAATGGTATCCAAATGACGCCCTAGAACCCCTCAACTACCCAAATTGTGCGACTATACTGTACTGTACTCCGTACTTTGTACTCTGGACCATCTACTGTCTGATAGACTCTTTAACTAGGTCACGCCGCTGTTAGCGGCCCTGGACCGTTTGCGCGCGGAAATGTGGTGTTAACCCACGCAGGGCAGTGTTTGACAAAAAAAGGGGTTTTGTCAGCGGATCTTTTTTTCAGGACTTGGAGTGGTTATAAGGTGGTGTGTTGCTCAAAAGTACCACGCTTGCCAGTGTTTTCAGCATTTTGCAGTGCTTACTGTGGGGATACGTTTTTGGCGACTTTTGCGCGTCTTGGGGGTAACTGTGATGTTTTTTTGTTTTTTTTTATGTTGAAAAGTGCCACGCCTGCCAATGTTTTGAGCATCTCGCATATTTTTTGGGGGGCTGGAGTGTTCAGGGTGCAACGAGCTTGCAGTGGTTCAAGTTTAGGGCTTTGGGGTTGCGCAGAGACGTCAAGCACGGAAAGCACGGTTTTGGTCGCGAAAGGCATGGACGCTTGTGACAGATGTTCTTGTTCCACATCCTTGCAAGTGCACTATGTTGTACAAAGAGGCGAAAACGCTGTAAATACCAGTGTTTTGTGCATGGACGCAATATGAATGACGTTCGTATCCCCACCCCCCCCCCCCCCCCCCCCCCCCCCCCCCCCCACCCCCCCCCCCCCAACCCCCACCCCCCCACCCCCCCCTCCCCCCCAAAAACAACCGGAACAAGTCACCAAGAAATGCCAAAACTAACGTTTTACCCAGGGCCGCTAACAGCGGCGTGAGCTTTAACTATACCATGCTAATACTATAGTGCCATAAGTACTGCACTGTTCTATTTGGGGGTTTACGAAAATAAGGGACCCCAAGTATAGACCCCAAATAGTAGGATTCCATGGTAATGAGGACCCAAATAAGGTACCCCTAATTCTCGGACACCCCTACTAGCTGTAGGGTTCTGGAACCGAGTTGCGCCTGGGAGTCCTAAACCCTAACCCCTAAACCCTAAACCCTAAACCCCAAACCCCAAACCCGAAACCCCAAACCCTAAAGCCTAAACTCTAAACCCCAAGCCTGAGGTCCAGAGGCCCAGCAGCCGACCACAGCAGAAGACGGGGAGTCCAGCCAAGGCGTCAATGGATACAAGGATCAGGTTCAGGGTTCAGTGTTCAGGGTTCAGGGTTCAGGGTTCAGGGTTGGGGTTTCGGACTTCAGGATTCGTTTCAGTGCATCTTCGCCTTCATGGGATCCAGGCCCTGTGCCCGACACCCTCCCTGCCGCCGGAAGATCTGCGGAGGTGGCTCGACCTGCGGCTGCGGTTCAGGCCAGGCTGCGGACGTTCATGCCTATGTGGGGGTTTCCGAAAATAGGGGCACCCTTTCTGTGGGGTTCCTTCAAAAGCATTCTATAGTATTTTTTGGTATATAAGGGGAATACCCCCTAGAAGGGACATACCCCCTATTTTCGGAAATCCCCAGCATGTATCCTTGTTCCTCCTTGTTCAGGGTCTGAGGGTCTGCAAGGGCTTTGGGAAGCTTATAGCACAGCAACCACAGAAAGGCCTCTTGCAGGTTTCCCCAAAGACTTTGTGGCATACTTATACTATCTTATACTGCTCACAAAGGATGCTTGGCATCTCGGTTTAGGGTTCATATAAGGCTTGCACCTTTTGGACCGGACTTCCGAGCTTAACATCTGGGAAATCTCGCCCCCAAGTCGCCAACCTCTGAAGTGAACGCTGTTGGGCGAATTATCAATAAGGAGGAGCGGGCGTATAAGGACTTACATGGAACTGGCGAGTGCATGAACAGCTAGTGAAGTTGCTGAGCGTAACGAACATGTGTATCACTGGTTTCCTGGCTCATCTCATCGTTTCCTGTTCTGTCCTTGTCACGCTCATGCTAACGGCTTCACAGAGGGCGCCTGATGCAGCACCTGCAGTGACTGACTGAATGACTGGTCGATTTGATCTTATTGATGCTGAAGCTATTTGCAACTGTGTCGTTCATGAAGGTATCCACCTTTAGGAATCCAGAATCAGATACGCCATGGCCACCACAGTAAATTGGGTGGCCGGCACTGTTTTCATGGCATCACACTGCTTCCAATTTGTCATGGTGTAGCACTTCATAAATACTCACGAGGCCAATTACAAAATGTACCATGTGTGAGAACAGATGATCCAGAGACTCCGCTGAAACCATCCTCAATCACACTTTTTTTTCTGGTCCGGAAACGGTAAACCCAGAAATCGGGTACCGAGAGAGGACTTGAAACGCCCAGAACCCTTCCTGATTGCTTAATCAGATCAATGACTGAACACAGAATGACTCGTGGAGAAGGGATTCCGTCCCGGGCTCCTCAGTCACGACATCGGGCCTTTGGTGCACGAGTCCGCGCCTCTCACCCATCACCCCAAGCCCCTAAACAGCTAAGTCCTGAACCGCATAATATGGGGGTCGCAAGAATTTCTGATAGTATTCCCTTATGGTCCCTTTGTAAATATACTAATTCAATAACCCCCAAAACCCTGCTCTCAATTCTGACATTGCTCTCAAAACCGGCAAGAGCTCAGGACTCGAAGCCCATAATCGACTGGAGCCAGCCAGCGCAGCCTTGTCAGGCTCAGGTGCCCCGGTTTCGAAGCATCGAACACCGAAGCCCTAAACCTGAGAACCCTTTGGGATGCTCCCTCACATTACTAACAGCTCCTTAATAGGGATTCTACTAGGGGGCTACTGTGAATCCCTATGAAGGGCTCTTAGTATAAGGGGGAACATCCCAACCCCAAACCCACACTTGGCTGAGGGTCTTGCCCAAACCCTACACTTGGCTGAAGGCTGAGGGTCTTCTTGGGTACTGAGTTTTTGGGGATTGTTTGGTTTTTTGTTTCCGTCATTTGCGTGCTTGCCTCCGCTTAAAAAAGTAAAATCCAACAGTGAGCTGTTGGGATTTTCCTGAACACGAAACCCTGAAGCCTAGACACCTCTGCACCCGAGAACCACGTAAACAAGGAGTAAGGAACAAGTGGGCTCGTGAATCCCCGGCCCCACAACCTGAAACCCTAAACCCTTCAACCTTAAACCAAACCCTTAAACCCTTAAACCCTGCCCTAAACCCTGAAACACTAAACACCCTTAAACACTTAGAACCCTGAAATCAATGGTAACATAATATATTAAACCAAATAGTCTGTCAAATGAGAACAATAATGCATTAAAGGTGCAACAAATGCTCAAGCTATATCCCTAAACCCTAAGCCCTAAAGCCTAAACCCTGAGCCTTATATTCGGATGTTGGATAGAGCGAGTCGCGAATCTGGCAGGCGCCGGCCCAGCCAGCACATGCAGCCACGCCTGGCGCTAAGACTGTGTTGTTTGTTTGGGTTTTTACGGTTTTAGGGTTTAGGGTTTTCAAGGGTTTTAGGGTTTTAGGGTTTTGGGTTTGGGGTTTAGAGTTTAGGGTTTAGGGCTTAGGGCTTTTAGGGTTTTAAGGGTTTTTAGGGTTTAGGGTTTAAGGCTCAATTAGGGTTTCAGGGTTTTGGGGCTTAGGGATTTAGGGCTCAGGGTTTAGGGTTGTTGGGCCTTGTGGAGGCTTAAATGTGCTTTGGACCTTTGACCCTAGTGGTATCTGGGTGTAGTAAGGTCTAGAGTTAGTCAGAGATCGATTCAGATATAATTGTATCTCTATCAAAAATATATGTATCATGTGGTCTGTGGTTTAAGTAGAGTTTAGGGAGCAAGGCAAGTGCGGGCACCACACGAGAAGTCTCAACTAGTGTCGTAAACTGATGGTAAAAAATTGGTGGCAATACATGGAGACAAATGATCAGGGGAAAAGTTTGTTGATGGAACACCGGGAGACAATGATCAACGTCATAGCCATCGAAGCGGGCATCAACGAAAGGGACATCGCGAGATTCAAGTTCGAGCATCGCAGGGGCAAACAACTCTCACCCTTCACCATGGTTGATACGGGAAACTATGCCTTGAAACAACAAATGCTGGAGTCAATCAGCCAAAAGTATGACAGAAAAGGAATCAAAGAATGGACCAACACGAAGCTGAGCCAGCTCCAAAGTGGAAGCAACAAGGACTCCGTGAACGGCATGATCAAATTCGAACCATGCATCGCAGCGTTTGACCGTATGCAGACAGAACCTCTCAAAGCCATCATGACAGTGATCACGAAGATGACCCCAAACCTACAATGGAAGCATTCATGGAAGCATCTCACAGTCCAGAACACTGAGACAGGAGAATACATTACGTGGTTGGCTTATGATCACTTGGAGGGCTTTGCGAAAATCTATGTCAACAAGAACCTCTACTCTGCACGAGCCTTCGAAGAGGAATTCCTCACCGCGTACGGGAACATCATGTCACGCAAGGTCATCGGCAACAAGGGAAAAGGCAAGGGCTCCACAGCAGAAGGAGTACTGACTGCAAGTGACTTCCTGAAGGCTGTAGGTCTCACCCCGGAGGGAAAAGGATCATACATGAGGGTCTCAACATGGACACTCAAAACCAAAGTGCCTTTCATTTCGAGGTGACATCAATCGCTAACGAAGAGTTCGGACAGAAATACGACGACCACCTCAACAGGATTGCAAAACGCATCCTGAAGCCTGACTTAGTCTTGTAGGGACACTGCCTTCCAGCACGAGCGGGGAAAAACTACGACAGTGCTACAAGCGTACCTGCCACAACAGATCATCAGAAAAATTCTGAAACTATATACCCAAGGAAGCTTCACCACCGAATGTCTCATCACCGAATGTCTCATCACCGAATGTGTCGTCACCGAATGACAGCAATTACGAGGTCTAACCGACCAGTGATTGCTCGCCCAAAAATACATAGGGATGATATGACAAACGATATCTCTGTTAACAGCGCTTTGCCTTACTCTACCCCCAGCCAACCGGTACGGCGGGAGACGCGCCCACTTTCCCAAGGACGGTGCGCGAACGAAAGGAGTACTGAACCCAAGTCTCACCCAAATCGCACACATAGAAGAGGAGGAAGGTCTAAGACGCAACAATTGGTCCATAAATCCAACAGACGACAAAAACGAACCTTCCACAGAAACGAATACAGAAGAGTGAGACAGTGCTGGAAGGCTTTGGCCAAGCGTCCAGCTACCCTCACCTTGGCTCAAGAAAGAATCCTAGCAACCACAAGCAATACAACGAATATAACCTCTGGCAAAACGGCGGAAGACATTAATCATGAACGCAATTTGGACTCCAATGTCACCGCAGAACCTTGGAAGCAGCCCCTCACACATGCTCAGAAACTCCGTATTGCAACTCTGAACATTCGAGGGATGAACTACATAACTGCAAGACAGCAAGTTACTTATGTCATGAAGAAACATAGCATCGATATTCTTGCATTACAGGAGACGCATGTAAATTACACGGGGAAAGAAACACATGATGACTATATTTTCTATTTTTCGAGCAGCATAGACGATGACCAGCGAAAACGAACTGAAGTAGACCTGGAAGCGTACAATGCTAAATGCAAAAAAGACAAGATACAACATGATGAAGCACAGCGAGAACGTATGAGAATTAGACAACGGGCGGCAGAGAAACTTGGATGTGCTATAGTATACGCAAAAAAGCTTAATCTGGACGTCGACATCCAAGCGACCGATCACCAACATATTTTAATGACGATTAATACGAAGCCTATTTCCATAAATATTGCAGCAACACACGCGCCACATGCCAATCACACGACTCAGACTAAGAACATTCACTATGAGACCTTAGGACAACACGTGGATAAATGGAAACCGCACGAGGTGAACCTTATTCTTGGAGATTTCAATGCTAGACTACTTGAACAGTTACCGCAGGAATCCACAATCATTGGGAAACACGTATATCGCGAGTCTAGTTCTACTATACAAGACCTCAGTGAACCACAGCAACAAAATAGGCACTTGTTTACAGACTTTTGCTTATCGCGCAAGTTGATACCTATGAATACTTGGTTTGACAAACCCACCCCCCTTCTTGCTACTTATAGGAGCGTTGGCACGCAGGCATTTAATCGAGCGGAAATCAACATCAACACTCATGCTCAAATGGATTTCATCCTTATTAACGACAGATGGAAAAACTCGGTGCGCAACATAACACCTGTTCATGAAACTATTTTGGATTCAGATCACGCGCTTCTAATTGCCGATGCACACGTGAAACTATCGCAGAAAAAACGGAAGAAAACGAACGCTTGCCCGCAAAAATTTAGAACTCCGACAAAAATGCAAAAGCACGATTACAACCTCTTCATTAAACAGAAAATCGAGGAACAACAACAGCTTGGCAAATGGAAATGCACAACTGCATTTGAAACCCTTGCTGAAATAATTGACGAAGCAGCTGATAAATACTTTACGCCTATCCCATTTGAACAAAAGAAACCTTACCTTTCTGAAGACACTTGGAATCTTATTGAGGACAAACAGAATGCGATTCAAGAAGAAGATTTCATCAAAGCCCGAGCTTTAACCAAAGAAATCCGTTTGAAAGCCAGGAAAGATAAAGAACGGGCGCTTCTACGAGAACTTGAGGAAATATCGCAAGATGGCTACAAATGGGATGGTCTAAAGAAAGCAAGACAAACTTTTCAACCCAAGCGATATAAGTTCAAAAACAAACGCGGAGAAATCATCAAAGAAAAAGATTTTCCTTCTACTGCAGCGGAGTTTTTCGCCGAAGTGCAGTGGGCCAAACCGCTGGAAAACGAACTAGACCCGGCTAAAGAAGCTTCCCCTCTTATTGAAGGAACAAGCGCTATGAATGATAACTTCTTCTCTATAACTGAGCTCGATAACGTAATTGACGCGCAAAAGAACAACAAAACTCCAGGACCGGATGGATGTAGAGCAGAACTTGTAAAATGGCTTTCGGTCCCTAACCGAAACTCTCTACTCTCATTATACAACGACATAATTCAAGAACAGCATTATCCGGAGACTTTTAAAAAAGCTAACTTGGTCGCTATTTATAAGAAAGGGGACGCCACCCAAATGCAGAATTACAGACCAATTGCCCTTTTACAAGTGTTTTACAAATTACTAGCAAGCATGATCAGAGCTCGTCTCATACATGCATATGACTCATGGATTCAAAACACACAGTATGGTTTTCGTCCTAATAAATCAACAACACAAGCTATCTTTATCGCAAGAAGATTATTAGACCTGGCCGAAAGACAGCATTCAAACTTGTCACTTATTCTCTTAGATTGGGAAAAAGCTTTCGACAAAGTCAACCAGATAAAGCTCTTACAAGTTCTTCGAAGGCTAAAAGTCCCCCCAAATATGTTTCAATTGATCGCAAATATGTATAAAGATCCACAGTTCAGAATAGCAATGAACAATCAAAGCTCGGAATACAAATCGCAAGATTCTGGGATCCGACAAGGCTGCCCCCTGTCTCCGTTTCTTTTTACACTACTAATGTCTGCTATGTTCACAGACATTCGAACCAAGCTAAACACTCCGAAGCAAAAAGAACCAATACCAGGAATTGAATTCGCTGAAGTCTTATATGCAGACGACACACTTGTTTTTGGCACCCACACGCACACAATAAACAAGCTCCTGCATGCTATTCAGTCTGAATCTAAATACTACAACATGAAGTTAAACTACGACAAATGCATCAACCTGACTCTGAACCAAGGACAATCCAGCGTTAAATATATGGACGGGACACTGGTTCCACGCAAGCAGGAGGCTAAATATTTAGGGTCCTTACTGACAGACACGGTGAATAATCACAGAGAGATTTCTAACCGTATAGCAGATGCTACCGTCACGTGCAATAAGCTTAAGCTATTTTGGAACAAAGCTCAAAACAGCGTAAAATGGAAGCTCAAGGTATTCGACTCAATTCTTAAGAGCAAGGTCTTATATGGTCTAGAATGCATACAACTTACAAAATCTGATCTGAGCAAACTTGATGCATTTCAGATGAAAGGCCTCCGGCGTATCTTGAAGATTCCGCCCACTTTCATCGATCGCACCTACACGAATCAGAAAGTATTAGACCTCCTAAACAATGATTACCGTCATGTCATTGAAAAGTTTTCTCTGACTTGGATGAAAAGGAAAGTTAAGTTATTGGGCCACATACTGAGGACTGATTACAAAGACCCCATGAGACAAGTCATATTTGATCCATATACAACTAGACCCAGACTTGAATACAGACGCCCAGGTAAACCAAGAGCATCATGGCTTCTAGAATCTTTCAAGGATGCTTTTACCCTTTTAGGACGGACTGAAAACTATGATGACAATAGCAACGAGCATCACCAGTTTATCATTCAACAGGCTCAAACAAGACAGGGAATATTTGCCACAAAAACGCATAACAGCTGAATATATAGCTCAAGCTGCATCATCGAAAGCTCATCACCGAATGATCATCACCGAATGTGCCTGACAGTGGATGCGATGCACCACTACCAGGCGACCGTTGCAAAAATGTACGACATCAAATCTTCATCACCGAACGTTTCGTCACCGAATGTATGGCGCAGTGCTGCGACGTCGAGGCAAGATGCCCGTCTGCACCTAACATGTTCTCCTGGGTCTGCAGGACAGACACATAGATACACTGTTTGCTGTACGCATTCTGGTTCTTCCCCTCCCCATATTTGCACCTTTAGTCCTCCTCACTTCACAGGCAGTAAATGGTTTAAAGCTAGACCGCTTCAAATTTTGTCTCACCCCGCCGCCGCCCTCAGATCTTTGACCATCCTCTCTTTTATTTAGTCCCCAGGCTAGGTTTCTGTGCTCAGACTGACAGTCTGCACGTAGGAAAAAGTGTCGTATTCAAGACTGCTTTGCGTAAGCCCCGAAACCCAGACGCCTCGATTTGCAGAACTGTTTGTGTCCTAAACCCTAAACCCATCTAAACCCTAAACCCAAAACCCCAAAATCCGCAGGCCTTGTCCAGGACCTGGGTTGTTTGAAGCCTTGCATGAAGCATTGCGAGCAGAGTTTCAGTAGGGTACTTGGGCGAAAAGGCCTTCTTATATATTCTTATATAAGGTGTTCGAGCTATTTTGAGCCTAAGGGCAAGCCCTCACCCTAAACCCTAAACGGTCCTAAAGCCCAAAATCCAAAACCCCAAAAACGACCCACGAAGCGACGCTTAGGGTTTAGGGTTTAGGTTATAATTATAGGGTTTTTTGTTTGGTTTAGACCCGAAGCCCCCAACTGTTTCCCTCTCAGCCCTAAACCCTACAGGGCTTCGGGGTCTCAAGCAGGCTGCCGGCGTCTGCCTCTGCAGGGCCCTTGGGTCAGACGATTCCGCACGGAGCCGAGCCTAAACCCTAGGGTTTAGGGTTTAGGGTTTAAGGTTTCGGTTTAAAGGCTGTCGAGGTTTACGATTTTCTTACATCTTACGAGTTTGGATCAGCACCCGATGCAGAATTCAATGTTGCACACGGTATGTGGCAAGAAGATACCTTGTGATCTGGTTGACATTCCAAGTTCATAGGGATTTCGGATTTGGGGAAACTGACCACCCCTAAAGCAGAAACCCTTACTAAACCTCAATCCCATATTCCACAGCTCTTGTCGTGAGCTGACTCAGAAGCAGCTCCGCAAGTATCGCGCCGCTTTGTTGCGGTGCAGGGTTCAGAGGTCAGGGTTCAGGGTTTGGGGTTCAGGCTTCAGGGTTTTAGGGTTGCTTAGGCCAAGCTCAACTCTAAGACCATTTGAAAGTCACCCTCTTGAGAGCATGCCCAGAAATGTCCAACAACCTCGTAGGCTCATAGGCAGCCATGTATGGCAAGGACCTCGCCGCTCAAAGGCAACATGTTGGGGAGAGCTTGGTGCGGATAGTCAGTAGCGAGCGCCTTGCTCACAGAGCTGTTCTGCCTGCAAACGATCCAATCCTGCAAGAAAAGGAGGCTGAAACCCCCTCTGCCATAACCCTGATCCCACCAGGACCATGGCCCTTGAGGCCCTGAATTCAGATACCCTGAGGCCCTGCAGTTCCCCAACCCGTCGCATTTGAAGCCTCAACTCCTACCCGGGCCCCTCAACTCTGACATCGCGAGGCCCCCGCCCTCTGGCTTTACGCCGGTGCCGATGGAGAGCTACCAGTGACCCCCTAGCCCACGCGGGTTTGGGACGTAGGGTGTGGGGTGTAATTAGGGCTTGTGCAGCTGCCTCAGCGACTGGGGGTTCCGGGTTTAGTGTTGACAGGCTGTGTGGGTACATGTTGTGGAGCTCGCTGCGTGACACTGGATTCCGCTCTCCACGCGTGGTCCTGACCACTCCTTCAACCTCGACGTCCCTGCATCAGGTCCTCCGATTCCAGCCCGAGATGCCCTACACTGCTACCTACCCATGAATCCATCTATCTGTCTGACTATCTTTGAATGAAAGGCTTGCCTAAGTCATGTCTGCGCTGCAAGCATTTTGAACGGGCTCAGGGTGCGTGCCTCTAGCCTGCTAAGGGTACATCTCAGCCAGAGTGCTGGAAATTGGCCCATGCTACGATTGTTTGCGTTGACATGTGTCGTCGTTGCCACTGCTGTGAACGACATTGAGGTGTATTCCAACGATCCCTGTCAGCACTCTGAGCAAAACCAATGTACGAGCTCCTGAGAACCCTAAACTATGCTTTGACCTTCATGACACAAACCCAGAAGTTGCGCCAAATCCTAAATTGTGATAAACTGGGATGTTCTCCTTTATACTAACAGTCCTTACTCGGGATTCGGGATTATAATTAGGGGTACTACAATCCCTATGAAGGACTGTTTGTATACCGGGGAACATCCCAAGTTATAAACCCTCATCTCGCAATGAAAAAGCTCGAAAGGCTCGTCCAGAAATATGTAAATCATCTCTCTGGCTTCGTGGCTTGGGGCTTAGGGCATGGTTTAGGTTTGGCATCTCATCAGTTGCATTTTCCCTTTCCACATCCCAGCCAAACCCTAAGCGTAAACCCTGCAAACCCTACAAACCTTCAACCCTGAACCCAGAACCCTATAAACCCTAAACACCCTCAAAACCCCATAAACCCTGTAAACCCTGTAAACCCTGTAAACCCTGTAAACCCAACCCTGTAAACCCTGTAAACCCTGTAAACCCTGTAGACCCTGTAGACCCTGTAAACCGCATAAATCCTACAAACCCCCCATTAAACCCTGAACCCTACATGCGAAGTGCGATGCCCCGTCCTCTGAGGACAAAGCCTTCGCAGTGGTGAACCACGCCACAGGCAGACTCTGAGGGTCTAACATAGGGTCGGAATAATTACAAACAGTATTCCCTTATATGGTCCGTTTGTAATTATATTATAATAACCCCCAAGACCGTGTTCTAATTATTAAGGCCCCTTTTCTTAGGGTTTAGGGCTCATAAGGTTAGAGGAGGGATAGAAGCTTTGGGGCTTAGGGGTCTTAGTTGTCATTTGTTCTTGTGTGTTCTTTTATAGGGTTTTTTTTTTGGGGGGGGGGGGGTTAAAGGGCTTATAGCGGTTAACCGGCGTTGTGTCCGGACACGCGAGGGGTGTTTCCAGGGCTTAGGGCTCGTAGGAGTATAGGGCCTTAGTGCTTTAGTTTGGGACGTCCCCCCTTATACTCTAACAGTCCTGAATATGGACTATAATAGGGGGCTACCATCATCCTTATTGAGGACGGGTAGAACAAGGGGGAACGCCCCAGGCTTTGGGGTTGCCGCTCCCTGGGTTTGGATTTCGGCGCCAGGGTTGCCTGCATGTTTTTTGACTTTTGTTTACTAAGTTTAATGTGTAGGTGTATAAGTAAGTCGTTATTGTTGTTACCATGTATATATATATATATATGCATGATATTTGCCCTTATACGAACAGTTCTTAATCGGGATTATAATACCCCCTATTATAATCCCTATTAAGAGCTGTTAGTAGAAGGGGGAACATCCCAATACTCTGATTTGTTGCAGATTGCACGATCGCTCTTTCTTGAAAGATGGGTCGTTGTAAGGGTTCTCGGCACCCGTCAAGGCAAGGGTGCATGCTGGGGTGATGCGACGCACGGCGGCAGCCGCCTGGTTGATTCGGTCTCGACTTGTTTTTTTGTTTCTGATGAGGAACTCTGACCCTTCTCAAACCCTGAACCCCAAGTCCTGAAGTCCCTAAGTCCCTCAGTCCCTGACACCCCAGGGAGATTGGGAGTCTGAACCTTCGGCTTTGGGGGTTTAGGGGGGGCTTGCCAGCGCAAAGCCCTGTACACAGGTTTAGGGTTTAGGGTTTCCTCTAGGCCCTCTTTTCCTCTTTTGTTTCCGGGGTGGGGGGGGGGGGTTTGGTTCCCTGATCTCTATAAAGCAACCCAAGATTGAAATGGAAGTCCTCTTATTCCTGTAGGTTACAGCAGGGGATGCTGTTTCATCTGCAAGCCGAAGCCTTCAAAGGCTGCCCGGATGTGGACTTCAATGGCGTTACGGCCGTCAAAGCGAATGGGTTTGTCTTCTTGGCATTGACGCCCAGCCTTTCTAAGGAGGATTGTAGAGGTTGTTCTAGGCACATCGCCGTGCCCTGGGGTCTGGTGGATGTTTTTTGGCTTCAAGTTGGGGGATAGACTGCTGGCGCTGCTGACCATAACAATAATGTTTGCCCTTCTTCATTCATCAGAGGAACGAGGCAGCAGGAACTGCCCAGTGCTGGGGCAAGCTCGATCAAGGCGGCGACTGTGGAGGTGTTGACTTCACCGGCATGTCAGAACTCTACGCCACAGACTACGCCTTCGCGGCTTTCGACCGGGCAAATGGCCGGGCCGTGTGCTTCGGAAATCCGAGCTACGGAGGGAACTGTGCATCCGTTGACTTCACACACGTGGACAAGGTCTATGCTGGCATGCTTGCATTTGCTGCCTTGAGCACATCGCAGGGTACAGGGCACTGCTGGGGCTACGGCTTCTTCGGTGGAGACTGCTCTTCGATAGACTTCACAGGCGTGACCGAGATCATTGCTGGCAACTACGCCTTTGTGGCCTTCAACCGCAACGCAGGCACGATCCAATGCTGGGGCTACTCAGTCTACGGCGGAGACTGCAGCTCTGTGAATGTTGGTCACATCACCGATGTTGTCACGAACGGCGAGGCGTTCGTGGCTTTCAACCGCCAGACGGGTGTCGGCGAGTCGCCCGACATGGAGAATGAAACCCGCTATTAAATCCCCAGAATGTGAGAAGCCAGGCCAAAGACCCAATTGCCAAAACTGCATCTTAACATTGACAAGCGCTGCATGAACCTTCTTTTCAGGTGCTGGGGCAACTCTTTTGCTGGCGGCTCCTGCAGCGGCATAAACTTCAGCGCAGACGCGCGCGCCTCAAGAAAGACAGGTTTTGAGCTGTTGACAGTAGAGGAGTGGAGCCCCGAAAGCCAAAGCCTTGTGCTGTGGCTGCATAGTGATGGTTCTTTGCGGCTAGGATTCCTTCGATTTAGATTCCATGGTGTGGGGTGAGTGCGGGTGAGAGGGCTCGGGTCTTCAGCGTGCACGGAAGTTTCAAAAGACAGCCATAGCCCGCGTTGGTTGCATGCCGGCAGCGGAAAGCGTCCAAGAGCCACGGTACCAAATAGAAAGCTGGCCGGCCGGGCCCTAAACCCTGCACTCTATACGCGGCAAGCTCCAGAATCATGATGACTAGGACCGGGAGTAGGCCCTTTTTTCCTTTTTTTAGGGTTGGGGTTCCCCTATAATCCCCTCAACCAAAAAGGGCATCTTTTTTTTCCTAGGCTACTCCCGGGTCTAGATGGTGAAGGCCTCGCGCCAACCTTGATGAGAACAAAGTCATTCAAAGCAATGCAATAGAAGCACTCGGGATCTCAGAATGCTCCTGCACCTGCCAGTGCTGCCAGCACGCTGGGTGTTTTCGTTCTGTTTTCGCCTTTTCTCACCTGCACTGGCGAGGATGACAGATTCCAAACAGCCCTGCGCTGTATTGTGGTCTTGGTCCTTGCTCCTGAGGTTCAAATCTTCACCACTCCGAACGCCTTTCTGGCATTCTCCGCCTCTCAGCACAGCGACCTGTCGTGAGCATGTTGTATGTTGCATGTACGAAGTAGTGTGTAGTTACCGTGTGTGGTGCATGTGTTTGGGGTTGTACATGTCTGGTTTTACCTGTGTTTTTGTAAGGCTGCATCAGTGCATGTGCATGTATTTCAGGTTCTCCGTGTTCATGTACGTATACGTGCACGCATGTGTCAATGTGTGCATATACATTGGTATAGTGTTTCACCACGAGAGGACCATAAAGGCGGGTTAACGCCCAGCATAGACACCCTACAGGGCTTGTAAAGCCCAATTCCATCTAGCCCATGCCTCGGCCTCTGGCAGATATAGAATATAACTGTCTGGAGGCCACAACTCTTGCCCACTCCTTTGCCTCGTGTGGTGTGTGGTATGTGCGTGAGTATTGGAGACTTGAGGTCAGCCTTTTGGGATCCCGTGGCTTGCGGTTTGATTGCTAGTTTAACGTTAGGGTTTAGGGTTTAGGATTTAAGGGCTATCCGGATTAATGCTCTGGAGAACAGAGGTTTACAAGGTTGGGCAAGCTGAAATGTTCCTGCAGGTGGCCATTGCTGGGGCCAAGCCGCCTCAGGAGGAGATTGCACGAAGGCTCCAGCAAGCTTGCGCAAACAAACCCGAAGCCACAAAGACTGCAAATTGCAACCCCCAGATCACATGTTCGTCAGACCTCACTCTGAAGCCCACACAACGGCAGCAAATTTTCAGAACCAACCTGTGCGATCTTTATGCGGACAAGGTTGGAGGGTGGCTGTGACAGGCCCCTCTTTGCTTGTTTGAAGCAGTCGGGAGTCGGGGGCACATCCTGGGCTGCCGTACATTGAACTCAGCGAAGAAAACCATCATCGAGACTCCTCTGTGCAGGGTCGAAGCATCTCAGAACCTGGTCATAGAACTTAAGTCCAAGTACTTGTGCCGCAGGCTTCCCTGCTTGAGAACCGTGGCCCTGAACTCCCGAATTCCTGTTGTAGGTCAGCTTCGAGGGCATCACTGACATCTATTCCAACAGCGGCGCCTTCGTCGCCATCGACACCACTGCCGGTGTTGGGACTTGTTGGGGCTCAGAGCTGTATGGAGGTGGGGACC